AATCACAACCACACAGGCAAGAGCCCCAACACCACCAACAACAACAGCAACAACACCATCAGCAGCAACCGCAACACACGACAACAACAGCAGCAGCAACAACAGCAACAACGGCAACACCAACACAAACCACAACAAACCTAACAACAACAACAACACCAACAACAACAATAATAATAATAACACTAACAATAACAACAACACCACCACCACCACCACCAACAACAACAACAACAACAACCACAGCATAACCAACAACAATTGCAGCAATCACAGAAACAACAACATCAACAACAACAACACCACCACCAATACCAACAACAACAACCAACCAACAACCACAACGTCAACAACACCGACAACAGCAACGACATCAACAACAACAACCACATAAACAGCTCTCAGGGTGATATTGTTAGCCCATCAGCCAAGACTGTTAGCTCTTATCTGCTTGCGTGCCACTCAACACGTATATCCCAAACCCTCGATACCCGCCCACTTCGTCTTCGATCGTACCCCCTTAGGGGTAAATCGTTCTTACCCGCAAGGTGTATTTCGTACAGCCCCCAAGGCAGGCACGAAAGGACGGACGGGCGGAAGGGACTAGGGACAGGCGGAATGCTGAAGCGTGAGGGGGGATATCTTTCCCATTGGAAGGTATATCTTGCTTACCTGCCACGTGACGCCGCGCCCTCGTCACTCAAGAGCCACGCCATCGCTCGAGAGCTCCTCGAGGTTCATGCAGGACTCACGCTTCAGCAACCCGCCGTCTCGACCTGGCCGTCTGGGCCCGCCTTCCCAACCCACACGCTAGGGACTGCCCGCCCGATCTGCCCGTCTTGTTCTGCAACGTGTTTTCTGATCCTATTCCCCCCTCATGCTAATTTCTCTCGTGCTCCATCCGTCTCCCTCCCCTGTCCGTCCGTCCTCTCTTTTTCTCGCGTGTGATTCGACATGTGTGCTCCAAATCATCGATACCCTCTTCTTCGTCGCCTGCCAAGTGGACATCCTTTGAGGGCATCTTCCCTGCCTGCCAGATGGAGATGGCGAGGGAAAGGGAAAAGACAACGGGAGAGAACGAAAAGAGGACGAGGGAACGAGCAAGGGGGGATAACCGGGATAACCGCCATGGAAGTGCCACCTAGTTGCCCGACAGCACTCCGAGGTAAAGGGATGGGTCACGGAACAGCTTGCACGCTCACCAGACAGACCACGTCAAAACAAAACCAAACGAATTCACAGGGTCTCTCCTGTCTTGGGATGCTTGCCCGCAAGGTCAGAGCCAGGGTTGGTCCCATTTTCGAGCCGCTCCCGACACCGACCCTTCAGGAGAGGCCCCGTTCGCTGCGAAAAGGAAGCCCCGCAGTTGCAACAGAACATGCGAGGCCCAGCTGACCCCCATTCGGTGCCCCAGGGAGGCGAAACCAGGTCCCGAGCCCGATGCAAAAGCCGCTCCATCTGGCACGCTCTCGGCCCTGGGAACCTCGCACGGCCTCGAACCACCAACATCGAGAGAGGGAGAAAAGAAGAACCATAATGTTTGCAACCGGGCACTGCCCGGGCAGGCCGGTCCTAACGGCTGGGTCGGGCGGGCGGACTATCACAGGCTGGTCGGGCGGGCAGACCCTGATTTGCGGGTCGGGCGGGCCGAGTATTGAAGAAAACTCTGCAGATTCCAAAGAGCACTCGAGCTCGATCGTGCAAGAGCGCGCTTGCTGGGCGACGAGAGCAAGGCGCTGAAGAGATGGCATGGAGGTCCTGAGCGATAGCGCCTGTCCTGCGTAGCTTGCAAGGATGTCCCGCGTGGGAGCGCGATGTTCAACAGACTGTGAAGAACTACACAGGCGAGAGTCGCTGTTGTGATAAACCTGGGGCCAGGGGCGCAACTTGAGCACCAAGACTTGCCCTGATAGAAACCGGGGGCGAGCCCCGGGGAGGCGCGTGATCAGGGCACCGGCGGAAGGTGAGCAACGCGAAACTTATGCTTCAAAAATGAGAATCCAACAAACAAAATTACAGTCAACCAGTGTAGTAAGGATGCGCGATAAGGATGCAAGGGCCTCGGACGCCTATTTCGAAGCTTTTCGAGCGAGCGAAAACGGTGAAGGATGGACCGAAGAGGCAAGGATGCAAGGGTACCCTTGGGAAGGTTGCCCATCCTTACTATGCGGTTTGACTGTAGCACCGCGAATGCCCACTTCATCCACGCACCAAAAGGACAATGCAAAACCGCTCGGCCACCTGACTCTGGCTCCTCTCGCCCGCCAGTGCCTCCCGATCGAATCCTGTGGGACTCGGGCGGCCTCGACACGCCACATGAAAGGGATTGACCTTCTCGTGTTCTGGCTGCAATAGGAGTTGGACCACAAGAATCCGAACCCTGAGACCCCAGGTTGTCCACTGATGTCACGCTTGTCATAGCAAAACCATCGAAGCCCAAGAAACCCAGGGCACCCTGGAGGCAAGCAGGGTGTTTCTTGGCATGAGTGTTCACTCTACGGCGTGCGGACTCCTCGCCCCCCATGCCCCCAAAGAGCCTGAAACTCTCCAGCAGCTCTTTTGGAGGGGCAGCTTGTCACAAAAATGTGCAGAGAATCCCGCTCTTGCCGGAAGGGCGGCTCCCCGAGTCAGGACCGTGCTCTCTCGCTGAGGCGAGGCGCACGCTTCTTCTTGAAACGGCTGCGCCGCCAGAAGCATGGACGAGGGCCGGCTCCCCGAGAGAAGAGGTTGCTGCACTGACTCGCGAAGGAGGCCTGCAGACGGAAGGTCTGTTGCAGAATGAGCGATGCGCGATAGGTTCACCAAGGTCCGAATGATTCTCTTCCTCCTCCTCCTCCTGCACCCTCATCCTCACCACCATCGTCGTCGTAGTCGTATTCGCCATCATCATCTTCATTATCACAACCACCACCAACACCACCACCACCATCACCTCCACCACCACCACCATCACCATCACCATCACCATCAGCATCATCATCATCATCATCATCATCATCATCATCATCATCATCATCATCATCATCGTCATCGTCATCGTCATCGTCATCGTCATCGTCATCATCAGCAGCATCATCGTCGTCATCATCGCCAGCATCATCATCGTCATCATCGTCATCATCATCAACATCAGCATCATCATCATCAGCATCATCAGCATCATCACCAGCATCATCATCGTCATCATCGTCAGCATCAGCATCATCAGCATCATCAGCATCAGCATCATCAGCATCAGCATCATCATCGCCATCACCATCACCATCATCATCAGCATAATAATAATAATAATCATCATCATCATCACCATCATCATCACCATCATAATCACCGATCCCTCTCTCCCCCCTCTTTCTGACACGTTCTCGTTGTCCCTCTCTCCGCGCACCGCTTGGGGACACGAACGGCAATGAGGACCGAACACGCCAGCGCCTTTCTCCTCCTCTTCCTCATCATCATCCTACTCCTGCTCCTCCTCCTCCTCTCCTCCTATTTCCCGTCCTCCTCCTCCTCCTGTGCCATCCTCCTCTTCACTCTCCTTCCCTCTCCCCCCCTCGTCCCTCGCCAACTCCTGCATCCTCACATGCCCACCTGGTAATGAAGCACGACGACGGCGTCTGCGCGTAATAAGATCAGGTGGGGAAGGAGGCGAAGCGGAGGGTGGATGAGGCCGCCACCGCCTCTACCTCCTCTCCTTTCCATTCTATACGTCAAACTTCCACTGGTGAACTGCCCCCAGCGGGCGTGATCGATATTTCAATAAGGAGGCTAGCATCTCGCTGCGGCAGCATCTCATGATGACTATGGAGGGCCTTAGACTGGGTCTTGGAAGACCTTCGTACCCATTCTCGAAAGAATGGAGGAACAAACAGCGGCATTCTCATAATCTCTCGGATGTCCGCGCACAGATCTTAAATCGGCGCTGGACCCCCCTCCGTGGTGCGCGGAGCGCGGCTGGGGCGCCGGAGACGCCAACAGGGGAGATTAGCGCCGGTCCACGAAATCTGCGCAGAGATCAGAGAAATTACAGTCAACCCGTATAGTAAGGTTGTGCGATAAGGATGCGAGGGGCTTGGACGCCCATCTCGAAGCTTTTCGAGCGGGGCGCGGCCAACGAGAGTGGCCAAGGATGGACCGAGGAGCCAAGGATGCAAGGGTACCCTTGGGAAGGTTGCCCATCCTTACTATGAGGCTTGACTGTATATTATGCCGCTGTTGTTCTTTGGAGAAGGAAGAACCACAACCAGGCACCAGAATCGCGGGGCGCAGCGGAGGGCCCCCACGGTGTGGTGCCTCTCCTCGGAGGCGTCCCACTGGAGGCACCTCCCGCCCGCACCTCGCGGGAGCAGCGCGAAGACCTCCCCTCCGGGGGTGGCCCTGCTGGTGAGTCTGCCCGTTCCTCATTCCTCCTGCCCCTTCACCAAGATCCGGTCGCGCGGTCGCACGGATCCACTCCGCGCGGGGCATCCGCGAACCAAGAACGCCCCGTGTCCGCGGGGTCGCGGCCCAGGGGGCCTGACCCGCGAGGAGGCCGTGGATACGGCCGTGGTCCTCGCCCACGAGCGTTGCTTCAGCCGGATTGATCCGTGAGGGTACGGCGCGTTCTGTTCCAAGGCGCCTCGGTCCAAGCCGTCCTCCTCCACATCCTTGGATGCTCATTCTGGGGACCTTCCTGGAGACACTCGCTCCTCTCGTGCGTCGGAGCTGCGTCAAACGTCCGTCGATTCGAGTCGATCCTGAGTCGACCCTGAGTCGAACATGAGTCGAACTTGAGTCGAGCTTGAATCGAACCTGAATCGAACTGGGGTCGAACTAGACTCGAACAGATCCGTCAAGCGGGCCCCAGGAAGGTCCCCCAGACGAGCATCTAAACATCCTCCCCCTCTGCGCTGACGAGACTGTGGCCAGCTCCCCGGCCAGGATCCGCGAGATGGGGGGGGGGCGGCCCGCGATCGGCGACGCCGACGGCTGACACGATCGGGGCCAGCCAGGCTCGCCGCTCCCAACCGCGACGTACAGCCTGTCCCACTGCACCAGGAGCGCATCCTCAGCCACGCTGACGTTGGCGACGAAGCCGCCATCCGAATCCTCGCACGACGTTCGCAGGGCCACCTTGGGGTGCGCGAGCCGCCTGCCGACACCAGGAGGCCGTTCCGAGCCCGTTCCATGGCCCCCGACGTCATACCATTTGCTCATCAAGTGGGCCCCCGGCCTCAGCCCATTCCCCTAGACCGGTTCCTGTCCCGAGACGTGTCTTGTTGGCAGGGGCCCGGGGTCATGGCAGGGGCCCCCGGACGCCGAGGACAGCAACAGACAGCACAGCACGCACGTCGTTTCTGTTTCATGATCCGATAGGGTCTGGGGCCCCAGACTGGCGCAGCCGCCGCAATCCATCAGGATGCAAGGTACAGTCGGACCTAGGCCAGAAGAAAATCCCTCCAGAACACGAGGCCCTGCGCAGGCCAAAACACAGAACATCCAAGGGTACCCTCCGCAGGATGCACAAGAACATCCAACAACAAGCACGACGAGCAACAGGGTGACTTCCCCGTACCGACCTCGATCTTATACCTCGATCCGACGGTAAGGATGCAAGACCTTGGGGCGTCCAAGTTTCAGCGGCTTCTGGGGGCATACCACGGCAGAAGGATGGGCCTAGAAGACAGGACTGCGAGGGCATCCTTGGGAAGAAACTTCATTCGGTGGCGAGCCTGGGAAGGGGAGGCAGACCCTGACCTTCCTGAGTGCTGAAACGTAGCACTCCAGACCTGCAGACCTCTGGACTGCATAAAAAAACCTCGACTGGAATGTTGGTAGCAAGGTCCTGGTGCTATTACGTAGCCCTCCTGAAAAGTCAGGAGAAGGCGGCAGGGCTTCGCAGAAACCCTTTCGCCTCTTGAAAGGCTTTCCTTGAGCAGGGACATACCGTCCCGGCAGTCCTATAGGCCCACCACGGAATATTCGTAGAACCCGAAAACTTTCTAAGACCAAAACGATGTCATTCGAACATAAGCCCGATGCGGTAAAGCAGGACGGTCTCAGCCAGAAAATGCTCCAAGAGCAGATCGTGCAGACCACAAAAGGTTCCGACAACATTCTCTGGTGGGCCTCATACAGGCAAGCCAGGGCGCCTCGCCCCTGCTTGACTTCCCTCCTGGGCTAGAGGCCTCCCAGATCGGGGTCGGAGTAGATGGGGTCGGAGGATCGCTCGTAGGCGACGTCGAAGTGAAGCAAATCGGGCTCCACGTCGAGCCATATCGGCGATGCATCGCCGATGCGGCGCGATCCTCCGACCCCATCTACTCCGACCCCACCTTAGGCCTAGACGGGCGCGCCGCCGACTCGACCACATCCTGGGGCCGGGACCTCACTCAGCCCCGTCCTGACTGCCTACCAAGCCACCCCAGCCCGACCCGAAGACCCGAATTTCTGGTTTGGGGGGTGGGTGCGGCCTTCATGGTGTTTTTCAATGTTCCGCGGGAGGCCACGGTGGACGCTCATGGTGGTCCCCTGGCAGCCCCACAAAGCCCCCTGGACGCACCCTCGAGTGGAGGGTTTCTCCGAAGGGCTTAGGCGGCCCGTCCTCATCCTCCTCCTCCTCCTCCTCCTCCTCCTCCTCCTCCTCCACCTCCTCCTCCTCCCTCCTCTCTCCTCGGGGGGGGCGAGGGGGGGTCCGGTCTTTCTGTTCACGGCCCCCGGGGCGCGGTGAGGGCCCCCAGTGGCCGAAAATAGAGCAACAAACATCAGGACGTAACTTTTCGTCAATGCCTCCAGGGGGGGGTCCCAGGTCTGGGCTCCCCGCAGCACGTTGTCGGCGCGCACAAGGGGGCAGGGGGAGGGGGGAAGGCTTCTCAGAAGGAGGCTGCTTCTTAGGAGGAGGCGGCCCTACATCTTCAGAGAAGGCCCGCGCCTTCTGAGAGGCAGGGGGTGCTTCTGAGAAGCCTCCCCCCCTCCGCCCCCACCCCCCTCTGACGTGACCGAAGCACGGCCCAGGCCGCCTCCGCCACGAGGTCCTGGAAGGCCCCGGGCCCCGACAGAGTCAAGGCGCACGGGCCCGCCCTCACGCAGGTCACGGCGGCGCCGCCGGCCGGGCCGGTGGCGACGAACTCGCCCGCGTCGACGCGGAAGGAGGAGCTGTTGGAGCAGTCGCGGGCACCGCTGCACCTCGAGGGAGGGCACGGCCCAGACATGCTCGCGTCGGGCCGTGCAAGAACGCACGACGGGAGGCAAGTGACCATATCTCCGGCACTCCTGGGGCCCTCGCCGGGCCCTGGGGCCGTCAGAACAAGACGCGGGATGAACAACCTGCCCTGGGGAAAGGGTCGGGACTTCGGGGCACCTCGCACTGAAAAGATCAAGACATGGCTGTCTGGGAAAGGTGACGATACTGCTATCCTTTCCTCGTTTTCGCCTTTCGAAGCCTCCTGGTAGGCCTTCGTCGTCATGGTCGAGCTTGCCTCGAAAGTCTGGGTAGGACGCACCCCAGGGGAGGTCCAGGGACATCGGGATCTTGTGGCTCCCCCTGCACCAGCACACGCGGTGCGGCCCGCCCAGAGCGACGGCGGACACCTCGAAGTCGAGCCTCATCCACGTGAGGTTGTCGCCGGCCGCTCCGGACTCGCCGGTCGCGTTCGGGAGCACCTCGCACGGAGGAGGATGCAGAGGGGGGGGTGGACAAGCGAGGTGGAGCTGCAGAGGTTGGCTGGAGGCAGGGCCAGCAGGAGTGGGATGGAGGAGGCAAGAGAAGTGAGCGAGGACGAGGGAAGAGGGAGCCGGGGAGCTGGGAGGGTCCTGAACGGTGTGTTCCTAATGTCATGTTGCGTTCGCTGTCTCTCGTGTTGTCTCCGTCCCACCATGCTGCAAAACGAAATCGAAACGAAAACGGTCAACGAAATCGACAAAACACCGTGTAGGTCATGCCCAGTGTGAGGCAGGCCAGGTGCGCTCGCACCGCATTTGACACGCTACCCCTTCCGAGCACTCCTTCTCACTGGCTTGGACCTGTCGAGCGGGGTGTTATAGAATAACCTCATCAAAAACCACGCACTAGCCACAGCGAAGTCCTGTCTGGCGCCAGCCCACGCAGCTTCGCCTCGCCCGCACGCACGGCACGAAGCCGTAAGGGAAACCGATTTCCCGGTGGGAGGCTCTCTGGTCCAACTCGATCTCTCCCCCCAACCTCCGATCTTCATCATCCGTCCTCCTCCATATGTTTCACGCAATTAGTTTTCCAATCCTCCTCTTTCTCCTTATTTACGCAGGACGAAATATTTTCCTCTTGAGGTGAAAATGGCCACGAGAAGTTCGCGAGACAACGTCGGCGCCGCCGAACGGACGGCGACCAAACGAGCTGTTTGCAGCAACCGGGGTGAGATGGATGTATGTATTCATGTTGAATGGGGCCCGCTCGCGCGGGGAGTTAGTGCGCGAGACGACGCAGCGCCCATCGTGGAAAATTAATTACCGAGCCCCCCATCCCAGTACAATCGTAACACGGGCGGTTTGCGGGGTCCGCGGATCCGATTTCTTCCGGTCACCCTGTTTTTATTTAATAATGTAAATATAAAACAGGGGAGAAATCGGATCCACCGTGAAAAAAAAAACCGAATACTGATCCAACAAATCCGAAATCGGATCCGCGCGGACGGAAATCGGATCCACCGAAACACAAACCAAAACCAAAATTGGATCCGCGCGAACTTCATTGAATCCGACGGCGGGTATCTCACACGCGTCAGCTGAAGACTTCAAATCTTCGCTAGGGGCCCAAGAGGAAAAAACTTTCGTCCTGGGGTTGTATTCCAGAATGTTTACCGAGTATCGGGGATGGACAGACACCCCTTTAGTAAAACAGTAAATCGTGGTCTAGTGAAAACGACCTGGGGGCACAAACCTGGCGGGCGCAAGCCCAGAAAATGACGGCCGCGGCGCCCTCTTGAGAACCGGAGTCGGACAATTCACTAATCGACGTGTCAGGCTGGGGTTTCTGTCCACCCCCGGTAATATCCACATGCGCATATATTCCTGTTGTGGGTTGCTCACACGTAGATTTCGTTTGTGGTCGCCGTCCACAAGCAAGTCATGTGGCGGTCTTGAGAAAATATCGATGTTGTTGCGGCCTTCCCAAGCGGTTCATTGTGTGGAGGGGCCCCCACAAGCCCCCAGGAACCCTGACGATTGTCCCACGAGGCCGCCCCGAGGCCTCCAAGAGATCCTACAGAGGCCGCCAGAGGCATTGGGAAAGAGGACACCTCAGCAACAAATATACGCAGGCAGCACGATAGGAAGCGACAAGAAAATACAAAATAGGAAACTGCGCATATCATATCCTTCAACTTCTTTTGGTTGTTCAAAACTGAATGCGTTCTCCAGTGCCCAACTGCTGAACTGATCCAAGCCGCCTCAAGCATGCCGCACACCGAATACAGTCGGTGCGTTGACCTAAGGAACCCTAAATAAGGAACGAGGCCCCTTTTTTCCCATAAGTTAAACTTCGATTTCCCATCGAAACCCTAAGCAAAACCAAAGGCGAACTACAAAACAACTAACGAACACCGAGCCCCTCCCCAACGAAAAGGGTTCCTTCCTCAGCGCCCCGACTGTACAGAATGGAATGCCGAAAGATGGCGTCAAGATGTAACATTCCCCTGGAGAGCCCAAAGTGGGGCCCCGGAAAAGCCCGAGAGGGAGAAGCCGCGGAAGACGCGGGAGCCCTTCCCCACAAGATAGCCACAACACCCCGAACATGCCCCGAAGAGGCCCCCAAGAAGCCCCCAGAGGCCTTCGAGAACCGACTGGGCCTCCGAAAGCACTGCAAGGGCTCCCACGAAGCCACCAGTAGGCTCCAAGAGGCCCCCAAGATACCTAGCGACACACATGGAATATGAGAGGCACCAATCAGCAACAACGACACGAAGGCAGCCCCTCGGGCAGCGGCAGACAGAAACTAGATCCGAAGCCACGCACGTCCTCTTCAGGGGCTGGGCGGAATGGTGTTAAGCTTCTTGAGTAACCCTGGAGAGAGGGAGAACAGGACTAGAACACTGACAGAGCAGGAGGAGGACGACGAGAGAGAAGGACGACGACGAGGAAGAGAGGATGAAAATGGTAAGGAGGAGGAGGAGGAGGGGAAGGAAGAGGAGAAGGAGGAGGCGGTACAGAAGGAGAAAGGAGGATCAGGAGAGACGGGAGGTGAGAGAAGAGGAGAGACAAAGGAGGAGGAGGAGGAGGAGGAGGAGAAGGAGACGGAGGAGGAGGAGGAGACGGAGGAGGAGGAGGAGGATGAAGAGGGAAGATGCGAATCCTGAGAGAGAGAGAGAAAGAGAGACAGTCAGACAGAGGCAGAAACAGAAACAGAGAGAGAGAGAGAGAACAAAAAAGAGAGTGAGGGAGAACGCGAGAGAGAGAGAGAGAAAGAGAGACAGGAAGAGAGAGAAAGAGAGAGAGAGAACAAACAACAAAAACCAAGACAGAGAGAGAGAGAGAAAGACAAGAAAAGAGAGAGACAGAGAGAGGATGAGAGAAAGAGAGGGCGAGGCGGAGGAGCGCGGACGCAGAAATGCAGGGCGGAGGCGCGGTCTGGGGAGCCTCGCCGCGCGCGAAGCCCTCCGCGACGGGGTCGAGCCCGGTGCCGCACGGCTCGCTCGCCGCCCGGACCTGCACTCGGTCCGCGGAGCCGAGGAGCGTGCCTGCCCGCGGGGAGGCCCGGCTGGGCCGGGAACGGTGAGGAAGTCTGGCTGACGACCTACCAGACCACCCCAACTAGACGTAAGTCGGGCCTGTCCTCCTACAGGGGGATCTTGGGCGAAAAATTGAAAATACTCAAACGGTACCCCCCAACTGAGCAAACATAGTTTTTCATTTTGTTTAAGTCCCCAGTCTATTTTTTTACTATTTTAAAATTCCCCTCCTCTAGAGGGACAGGCCCGACTTAAAACTAGAGGCCTCCTAGATGGGGTCGGAGTCGATGGGGTCGACGGATCGCGCCGCATCGCCGTTGCATCGCCGATGTACCGGCGATGCATCGGCGATACATCGGCGACGTCGGCGATGCATCGGAGACGTCGGCGTGGGGAAACACAGGCTACACATCGAGCCGCATCGTCGATGCATCGGCGATGCGGCGGGATCCTCCGACCCCATAGCCAAAGGACCCACCACCTGGTTGACGACCAGGAAGTCTGGTTGACGACCTACCAGACCACCACAACCCAAGCCAAAGGACCCACAATTTCGGGTGCCGGGCCCACCCCCTCCACCGAAAGAATGGAGGGCAAATTGGGGCCTGTTGGTTGGGTTGGGGTGGTTTTTGTCAATGTTCCCCGACGGCCCCCTCTCTGGGAATGGAGGGCAAATCGGGACCTTCGGGTTGGGTTGGGCTGGTTTGGCTGGAGGCGTCTGGTGCAAGAGGGGTGATCTCGACGGCTGCTGGGGCGCCTCAGGTCGAGCACGGCGGGGCCTCCGGTCGGACTCGGGGGGGGGTGCATCAGGTCTAGCAACTGAGAACCGTGTCCCACGGGTCCTCCTGGAATGCTCCCGCTGGAGAACTTCGGCGGCCCCTCCCTCTCCGCGCGAACTTCTCAAGGTCGGCGCCGGGTCCCCCCCTTGGTGGCGCCTCCAGCGACGACCCCCTCCCCCAGAATGGTCCTCCCTGCTGCCCCGGCCACCGCGCCAGACTCACCGGACTCACCGGACACGCCAGCCACTGGACACACCGGACATACCGGACAAAACGGACACACCGGACACACCCGACACACCAAACACACCGGCAAACATACCGGACCCACCGGACCACCTGACCCACCGGACCCACCTGACCCACCGGACCCACCGGACCCACTGGACCCACCGGACTCGCCGGACTCGCAAGACCCACCGGACTCCCGGAGTCACCGGACTCCTGGATCACCCGACGATTTTGATTGTACTGGTGATAGTGCTGGTATTGAGATAAGGATTTTGACGATGATGCTGATGAGTACGATGATGACTTGGATGCTGCAGCTGGCGGCGTTCACGATAATTATGTTATGGTGCTTTGCTTTTGAACGTTGATGCTGATCAGGGTGATGGCGCTTATTATGGCAATGCGCCCGTTGTTGAAGAAGTGGGGAGGATGACAACAAAATGAATGGTACTGGTGTGGAGGAAGAGAGGGAAGCAGATGAAGAATACCATGTTATAGGACCATCGTAATGATGAGGGAGATGATGATCATAACGACGACGATGGTGATGATGATGCTGATTGTGCTCGTGGTGGAGATGCCCATGACAATGATGATGACGATGATAATGATGATGAGGCTGAAGAGTGCGCTTATGATGATGAGGATGGTTTGTACGATCGTGGTGATGATTTCGTCGACCTGGGACATGCTGATGGCGATCATTGTAACGAACTTGGTTGTGATGATGATGGTGGTGCTGATGTTGAGATGCCTGGCTCGGATCATGATTATGATGAGTACGATGATGACTTGGATGCTGCAGATGGCGGCGTTCACGATAATGATGTGTCGGGTGATTTGCTTTTGAACGTTGATGCTGATCAGGGTGATGCCCCTTATTATGACAATGATTTCGTTGTTAAAAAGTGATGAGGAGGACGACAGCGTGAACTGTGTTGGTGAGGAGGAAGGGAGGGAAAGAAGTGTATGAAAATTAATGATGAGGCATATGATACTCATAACGAAAACGATGGTAATGATGATGCTGATTGTGTTCGTTGTGGTGATGCCCATGACGACGACCATGTTGCTGATGATGAGGCTGAAGCGTGTGCTTATGATGATGAGGATGGTTTGTACGATCGCGGTGATGGCTCCGTCGACGGGGGATACGCTGAAGGCGAACATTGTAACGAGTTTGATTGTGACGATGGTGGTGCTGATATTGTGATAATGATCTGGGCGATGATGACAAGTACGATGATGACTTGGTTGCTGCACATGGCGGCGTTCACGATAATTATGTTCTGGTCATCTGCTTCTGGACTTTGATGCTTATTAAGGTGATGGCGCGTATTGCGCCCCATGTGGGAGCCCCACGTACCGTATATGACACATCGCAGCAATCTTAGGTCGTGCGTGTCCAGACAGGCGGATATGAGACGAAACATAAACATATGTTAAACAAATCTCAGCAACACTCAAACATAGTACCGACTATGATGTATTAGTTGTTTTTCATGTTCCTCCTGTAGAGGGACACGCCCGACTTAAGAGCAATCAAGGGGCTCTGAAAATCAGTGCGTCTAGCTGTGGAAAAAACAGGTCTACTTGAGATGCCAGTGTCCAGACGATCTACACGCGCCTTCTTGAGAGGTCGGCAGAGAGACGCGCCTACTCCCCCGAATGGCCATTCAGCCTGAGAGGCACCGACACTGTAAACTAGGACGGACCCGTGTCAAAGCCCAGGTTCCCACTTTGGAGGACTGAAATCAATGCATGCTATATCGTGATGGTCACAAGGACCTGCGAATAGACGCGTCTACTTCCGAAAAGGGCCCGACATGTTGGACGCGAACGGATCCATGTCGTAACTCCAAACGGCTCCCCATTAAAATGCCCAAATGCAATGCCTGCCACATCGTGATGTCCAGGGGATCGAAAAGACGCGTCTACTTCCGAAAACTGCGATTCTACATTGATGACCCGACAAAACGGGCACGAACGGGCCCGTGTCATACTCCCTGGCGGCTCCCCCGTGGGAGACTGGAATGCCATGCATGCTACATCGCGATGGCCCTGGGGCCCTGGGGCACAAGAAAGAGGATACTGCGTGTGCTAGCCTTACCGGCACTGGCCGTTACCCGGGAAAGGAGGGGGGGCTGGGCCCCAGGTAGCGGGGACGCACGGGCGGGGTGGGGCACGTCGGGGCGGGGATGCGCCGCGATCCCCATGGCATCCGCGCGAACACCAGCATGCGGGGTCCAGCCCCCCCCCCCAGCCACGCACGACCGTTCACAGGACCGTGGGGGTGGGGCCAGGGCTTCCACGGCTGCGCGCCCGAGGATACGAACCCAATCTCGAGCCGTCTGCCCCCACACAAACAACAAAAAAAACGAAAGCCAAAACAGCCTCGACGTGGACGGCCCCGTGCCATCCGCCCGGGCGGCTGCCCCTCCGGAGGCCCCAATGCAGTGTATGCTGGGCGGGTCTCCCCACAAAAAAAGGCCTTATCCTTCGGGCGCGAACGGAGCCGTGTCAGAACTCTAGGCGGCTCCCCGTTGGCAGGCCCAAACGCCATGCTTACTGCATCGCGACGATCGTGGGAGAAGAGACGCGTCACCCTCCGAAACGGGCCCTTCTACCTGCGAGGAGCCAACGATCAGGACGTGAGCGGGCCTGTGCCACACCCCCTGGCGATTCCGACTTGGCAGGCCAGAGTGAGTCTGAGTATGAGTGGGTCTGAGTCTAAGTTTGAGTGGGTCAGAGTATGAGTCAGTGTAAATGTGAGTGAATATGAGCTTGGGCGAGTATTTATGAGTATGATTTAGCCTGAGTGTGGGTGGGTCTGAGAATGAGTGATGCGAAGTGTGAGTAGGTCTGAGTACGAGTAAGTCCGAAGATGGGTGAGCCTGCATATGAATATGGCTGAATCTGGTCGAGACGGGAATAACCGAAGTAGGCGTAGGCACCACACTGATAACACCAATCCATACGTACTTAGGATGCGACGTAAAGCAGAACGCCAACAAGCTACGCACGCAGACTTGCAACCCGAAAGTTGCCGCACATAAAATCGAACGACTATAGTAGAACTCTACTTCAGCCGAACGCACGCCGACAACTCATATTGGCCCCTATCCGTTTCATCCTCCGTTTCCTTCTCCTGCCGCGCGCCTGCGAGGGTGAGCACAAAGGGCACCCCAGCCACGGCAGCCGACTCCTGCAGCTCCAGCTCTTGAGGTCCTCCGATGCGCAGCTCCACCAGCGCTACCTCGAAGGGAAGAGGAGAGGCCGAGGGGAAGAGAAGAGAGGGTGAGGGGAGAGGAGAGAAGAGAAGAGAAGAGCAGGGGGGAAAGAATTGAAGCTCAAATTCCCCCACGGTAGTGCCATTGTCAACTTCGGCCGACCGCGAACCACTGCCAAATCCAAGGGGAGAAGGAAGAGGAGGCATACGGGAAATGTGGAGGAAAAGGAAGGAGAACAGAAGAGGAGGACGCCGACGACGAGGACGGCGGGGGCGCGAAAGGAAGGAGGAGGATCGGAGCAAACTCATTATGCACCCGCGATGTTGAAATACACTCTTCCGTCCCACGTCGCCTCCTCAGGGGGCCCAGACATGAGATATCTTCGGAGCAGGACGCACCCTTGCAAGATGCGCGGCCGATGAGCATGCAGTTCAAGCGAAAGCTCCGTCTTCAACATGCCCAGCTATTGCAATTGCCAAGAAGGCTCTGAACAGGAGGTTCATCTAGATGATCTGCGATGCACGTTTGCGAAATAACCGCCGTCAATGCCATTGCTGCGCAAAGGCCACCTTCTGGTGATACGGTGTGAGGACGTGTCATGAGAGAGTCCCAGGTTGAAGCACAAGAGCCCGCCAGTCTACGAACTGTGGCACGAAACAAAGCTTCAAAATAGATAGAGAAGGCGAGTCCGCAAGAACCCTTCAGCAAGAGACTCGTTCTGAAAGTCGTTGACATGTCTCGCTGCAGGGTTGAGTTTACTGTTTCTGGGCCGCCATCGGGGGAACTCTGGAGCTTCTCGACGAGGCGGTTTCTTGTTTGCTTGCGCGAGGCATTCGACATGCACGCACGCCCACATGGCGGGGCGCTAGCCGGCGTCAAGATACAATTCATGGGCCAAGCAACCTACGACGTCCAGCCATCACTGCCGATGAGATCATGCACGCCGAACGCAAGCCAACAAAAAGCCGGGGCACCTGGACGAATCGTAGGCGGGTTCTTGTGATGCGCCGACTGCCAGTGATGAGGGGATCTCAAGTGGCATACCCACTTTGAACAAAAAGCCACCCTCCGTCCGTCTGGTTGTTGGGAGCGGGACAGAAGGTAGAGCGCGGCGCGAAAGCGAGGGCCGCATGCTGAAGTCGGTCCGCCCTCCATCCGCCTAACTGCTGGGATCGTTCGAGAATAATTCACGTCGCCATAAGGCGAGCACCACATCTTGAAAACGGACCGCCCTCCATCCAAGAAACTGTTGAAACACTTCAGACTTGAATCTGCCACCGTGCCGCTGAGCACGGACTGGGCGTGTCTACAGGTCCTCTCCCTAATCCCTTGAGCACTCCTGAGGAGTCTTTACAGGATCCGGACTCCAATTTCCGAACTCTCCTGGGACTTGTCGCGTACCCCCTGGGCTCCGAGAAGTCTTGTCGCATGATGGTTTCTGGCCCAAGAGGGCCCCAAGATGGGCCGAGAGGGCCCCGAGAGGCTCCCAAGACGGCCCAAGAGGGCCCCGAGTCGCCGAACGATCGCTCCAAGACGCTCAATATGGCCCCCAGACGGCCCAAGAGACCTCCAAGCCGCCAAAAGAAGCCTCCAAGAGGCATCCCGAGAGGGCCCCAAATGGCAAACATCATTGATTTCTCATATGTTTACAAAAGAATTGGGCGTTCTCGCATGTTCTAGTTTCTGGCGCTCCCAGACGGCCCAAGAAGCCCCCAAAACCAAGATGGCCCGAGAGGCATCCACGAGGGCCCCAAGACGGCCTAAGAGCAACCCAAGACGGCCCAATAGGCGCCCAAGACGGCCCGAGAGGCCCCCAATACGGCCCCAAAAGGGGCCCAAGAGAAGGACACGAACCGAAAATCCGAGCCGCCAGCCCCAAGAGGCCCCCAGGAGGCCCCAAGAGGCGCCCCCCAAGAGGCCTCAAGACTGCCTGAAAGAGGCCATCGAGAGTCCCCCCACTAGATCCCAACGAACATCCAGTAGGCTTCATCCCCAAAAACCCAGGCACGGTGGCGGGATAGGCCAAAGGCCATTAGATCCGCCGCCCCCTGCTTGCAGGGGTGCACGGCGTGCTGGATGATTCAGTTTTGGTTTTGGTTCTTTTTCTAAAAGAACTCCCCAGTGGGCTTCGGCCCGTCCCGCCGGCCACCCGCGCATTTCCCAAAATGCGCTGTCAATGCCCAAAAACGGCCGTTTCGCTCGGGACATCCTCAACAAATCGCGAAGATGGCCCAAGATGGCCTCCAAGTCCGCCCGAGATGGTCCAAGACGGCCTCCAAAACGGCCCAAGAGAGTCCAAGACGGCCCAAGACGGCCCAAGAGGCCCCCCAGAGGCCTCCCAGACGGCCCAAGAGGCCTCCAAGAGGTCCTCCAGGAGAGTCCGAAGAGGCCAAAATCATTGATTTTCCCTTGGTTTTTGAAGGATTTTGGCATTTGCGCCTTTTCGGCTCTCCGACGGCTCAAGACGGCCCAAGAAGCCCCCAAGATCGCCCAAGAGGCCCCCAAGAGAGCCCCATGATGGCCCAAGTGGCCTCCAAGATGGCCCCTAGAGGGCCCCAAGAGGGCCCAAGAGGCCTCCAACACGCCCAAGATGGCCTCCCAGACGCCCAAGATGGCCTCCAAGACGGCCCTGGAGCATTCCAAGCGGGCCCCAAGTCGGCCCATAGAGGCCCCCCAAACGGCTTCCGACGGCTTCAGACGTGCCAGGAACCCACCAAGATGGCCGAAGTTGGCTCGAAGCTGGCCCGAGACGGCCCAAAAAGCCCCAAAGATCGCCCAAAGCTTGCCCAAGAGGCCTCCAAGACGGCCAAGATGACCTTCAAGATGCCCACGTGTTCCCCGAAGGCTTTCCAAACCGATTCGGGGAACACGTGGTCCGATAGCTTGGCAGGTCTGGCCTCAACGTTCGGCCACATAGGCGCTTCCAAAAAGGCAGGGGGCGGCGGTGATTCGCCGTAGGCGTCTTCGATACCATACAGTCGGGTTGCTAAAGTAAGGAACGCTAAATAAGGAACACAGCCCCGTTTTGCCCCCAAACGCGCCTGCGTGGACGAGGAGGGCTAGATGAACAGCCATGGAAGGACCTAAGGAAACATCAAGCCCCTTCCGAACCCAAACTCTTCCTTATCTCAGGGTCTTGGCTGCAGGCAGTGATCAAGCCTCGGGCGAAGCGCCTGGATGTCCTCGTCGCCACAAAGGAAGAGGTATGGACGAGGATGAGGAGGACGAAGAGGGGGAGGGCAACGGTGGGAGTGGTGGAAGAGGAAGCGGAAGGGGTGGGGGGACCAGTGGGGCGGAGGCGGAGGTCAACGACGACGACCACCACGACGGGGAGGCGGAACAAGAGGAGGACGAGGGGGGGAGGGGAGGCCCCGGGAGGGCGCAGTAGGGAAAGGGAGGGGAGGGATCATCAGGGGAAAAACGTGTCCGCCACCGTGCCTGCACGGAGTGGGCTTGTTAGAATGCTCGTTTGTTTGTCTGGGAGGTGTTTTAATGTTCTCTTGGGCCGATCCCCCCCCCATCTCGCAGCGACCGTGCTCCGACCCCCCTCCCGAAATTGCTCCCCGGTGCTTGTTAGCGGCTTCCAAGACAGCTTCCAAGACGGCTTCCAAGACAGCCATGACGACTCCAAAACGGCTCGAGATTGCTCAAGAGGCTCTCAAGACGGCCCAAGAAGCTTCCAAGACGGCCCAAGAGGCCCTCCTAGAGAGGCCGTGGAGGCAAAACGATTGATTATCCAGGTGTTTGACGGGCTTTCAGGTCCTCGCTTGATTGGGTTCTCGACCGCCCAAGACGGCCCAAGAGGCCTCCAAAGTGGCTCCAAGACAGCCCATGAAGCCCCCAAGAGGGTTCCAAGTCAGCCCACGAGGACCCCGAGATCGCCCACCCCACGACGGCCCTACAGCGCCCCAATAAGGCACCAAACCGACCCAGAGCGGCCACCAAGACGGCCACCGAAGGCGTCAGACGGGCCAAGAGCCCCCCAAGACGGCCACGGAAGCCCCGAGAGGCTCTCATCTCAAGGGGCCCCAGAAAGCCCCCAAGAGGCCCCCAAGAGGCCCTCGCCAAGCCCCCAAGAGGCCCCCAAGAGGCCCCCCCAAGAGGCCCCCAGGAGGCCCCAAGAGGGCCCCAAGAAGCCTTCTCCTCCTTGTCCTCATGGTTTCCCTCCTCCTAATCCTCCTCCTCCTCCTCCTCCTCCTCCTCCTCCTGCTGCGCCTGCTCCTGCTCCTGCTACTCCTCATCCTCCTCCGCCTCCTCCTCCTCCTCCTCCTCCTTCCCCCTTCTCTACCGCGCGGACGAAGACGATGTCGAGATCACGACCATATCCAGTTCAGACCACTCGCTGAACTGCCACGGGGTGTGAACTCGACGCCTCCTTCTTACCGTGCGGACGAAGACGAGGTCGAGTGCACGGCCCGTCCTTAGCAGACCACTCGTCGTAATTGCGTTGTTGCTACACTCAGCCTCATCCCTGCTGCGCTGTTGCACAGGCACGGTGGCGGGATTTGCCACAGGCAGCTGGATACGAGGGAGAAGAAAGAGGAGTGGATGCCCTTGCTGTTATTCCTTCCCCCTCCCGCTCCTCCTCCCCGTCGAGAGATTCGCAGCTCCAAGCAGTGAAACGTCATTACGCCGGAGATCTGGGAGGATGTCCATGTGGGCATGCAGGTTCGTTGGTCATGGCCCGAACGTTTGCAGCTGCTCGCCTCACTCTTCGGAGGGGTAAGGGAGGCTCAAACTGAAATGATTGTATCTTGCCATATTGATCCCCGCGAGGGAGATCCCATGGAATACCCTCAGAACTACGGAACGCCTGGGGAGGAAGGGAAGGATATGCCAGCAAGCAGGTTTATGGAGTCCTCGCACGAAGCCGACCACAGTCACAAGAAGCGCACTTCATGAGCTATGCGGGACTTTGGTTATGCTGTTCCCATCGGGCGTAAGGACCACATCCCCGAAATACTTTCGAGCACCTAGAAGAAAAATATCGAAACCGTGTCGAACGAGTATCGCCTCCCAGGGCCCCATAAAGAAAAACCCTCAAAGTTCGATACTTGTTCGGTGCTCGGAATCATGGTGGTCAAGGCTAAAGTAGGTTGGAACATCCTAAGGCTTTGGGCGTTGGACGTCGAGGACGACGACTACCAAAGGAGACCGCTGTGTTCCAACCCTCCGCCTGACGAGGCCCTCGGGCCAAGGGGTCTGCGGCCCAAGACTGGCAAGCGACACCCGCCGCCGTGCCACCCCCGAGCCAGCGGTCTACGCTCTGCCTGGGTCCCCGTTCCCAGGGGAATTAGGACTTCTGTTTCGAAGATCTCCAGCTCGAGCTCCGAACGTGACGAAGTCTGCAAAAGCGGCACTGCCCTGGACCGCGACCACCGTGGCCAGACCTCGCGTCCCGTGCGGGGAGTGCGCCTGCCCCGCGGTGCCCATGGATCATGGGCACGCTCGCGCGCACGAGTGGCACCTCGACGAGAGAAGAGGAGGGCAGGGACAACGGCTGACGAGTGCTGGGCAGGACCTGCACGCTCACCCACCGCGCGTTCCGGTGCTGGGTGTCGGGGCTGGGTGTGTCCGCAAGCCACCCCGTCTGCCGCCAGCGCCCTCTGCCGCCTGCTCCCGAGGCAGGCGGGGACGCGCGCACATCATGAAGGAGGCAGGCACCGTGACCATCTGGCAGCTCGTGCAACTACAAGCTACCTCGCACTACCGCCCACCACGGCGGCCCATTTCAAAAGCAGCCAGGGCAGGCTGCGTGTGAGGATGGAGGAGAGAGAGGAGGAGGGATGGAGACAAGGAAGGGAGGTGGGAGAATGTTCCGCCAGGGACGCCTCGAAGGAGACGGCGACGACGGCGGCGAAGTCGACGGCGACGGCGGCGAAGTCGACGGCGACAGCGGCGAAGCCGATCACGACGGTACTGAACTGAACTGTCACCCTGAGGGCGGGGTCCGACTCATTGCTGCCCCGATTGGGGAAACCAAAAGGTATCGATACCGCTACTCCCCGGACATCTCCAGAGGTGTGTTCTGACCAAGAGTTGGAGGCGAATCCAGCGGTGGCGACGAGGGCCACCCAGGAGGCCCAAAAAGGGGAAAACAAGAGAAGGGTATGTCGGTATGTGCATCTTTCCCTCCTCTGACCGATGCCCTCCAAAGGCCGCGGCCAGCAGCGGTGTGGCGAGCCACGGCTCGCTCTGACGGCGGCGGCCCGGCCGACGACGGCAGCACTACCGCTGCTCCCCAGGGCCTCTCCCAGGGTGTGCGCTCGGACCCCAATGCATCGGGGCGGAGCCAGAGGTGGCGACGAGGGCCTCCCAGGAGGTCCAACAAAGCGTGGCAAGCGAGGGGAAGGGTAGCTGTATCGGTACCTTTTCCTCCTGTGATAGAGGCCTCATGGATGGGGTCTGAATAGATGGGGTCGGAGGATCTCGCCGCATCGCCGATACATCGGCGATGAATCGCCGATGCATCGGCGTTGCATCGGCGACGTTGGCGGTGCATCGGCGACGTCGGCACGATGAACATTGGGCCCCACATCGAGCCGCATCGCCGATGCATCGTCGATGCATCGGCGATGCGGCGCGATCCTCCGACCCCCATCTACTCCGACCCCATCTAGGACGCCTAGATCTGAGCCCCGACATCCAGGGCGAATCGGATCGAGCCGTGCGAAGACTCGGAACACGCGACATCGCCTCGGGCCGACAAAATTTCCATGCAGGAAGCCCGCGGGCCCACCGAGGGACACGGGACCCCTGGAGCCCAGGGCGCTCGACCCCCGGGCCACCTCTTGGTCCCGAGCCGTCTCAGCGCCACTATGGAGACACAGGGCTCGCATGGGCTACTACCGAAACTACCTCTTGTGCGGGCAAGAGCTGTATCCATTCGGGGGCGCGCAAATATGGACTAGCGATCCATGGATTTAGCGCGAGGTCGCCAAATCCATGGATCGGGGAAGGTGCCCTCCCCAAAATGCGGCCAGTGCGGCCTCGCTCGGCGGAGGAAAACTGCGATTCCCATGGAAACGGGACCCGTCGCTAATCCACTGCGTCTTGGAGCTTCGGCTCCCCCCCAAAAAAAATCAGGGGCGCAGTGGATGTGGAGGCAAAGTCTGACCCCGGGAGGCCGGACCCCATCTCTCCTGCGCCCAGGCCTTCTGGCACCCCTCCCCAGAAGGGTCCAAGACACGGTGGCGATGCAGAGAACTCTTGCCCGCATTTGGGGATCGCACCGGGCAGCACTGCCCCGCGGCTCGCTTCTTTTGCCCGATGATCCTGGAGCGTTGCGGGGGGAGGAGGGGGAGGAGGAGGGGGAGGAGGAGAGGGAGGAGGAGGAGGAGGAGGAGGAGGAGGCTCCCCCGTGGTCCTCGCCGAGGAAACACTGTGCGCGCACGCCCGAGCGATGCCGCACCGGGCGGGACCCCTCCGAGCGGGAGCATCGGCGCCGCCTCGCCTCGTAGGCGCTCCCGAGGCCCGCGGCGTGGCCGCCCGCGCAGGCGCCGCCGGCGCCGCACCCCGCCCGCAGCGCGGCGCACACGCGCACGTCCCCAGGGGCGTCGACCTCTGCGGGGGCTGGACGACCGCGCCCAGGGCGGCGACGCGGCCGCGACGGCGGCGCCCAGGGCCCAGGGCCCGCGGCGGCCGCCACGCCCACGGCGGCCGCGGCGGCGGCAGCGGCGGCGGGCGGCGGCGGCGGCGAGGGCGGCGCCGACCGCGGCGAGGGCGAGGAGGACGACGACCGCGGCGGCGGCGGCGGCGGTGGCGGCGACAAGGACGGCTGTGGCCGCACCAGCGATGTAGACGACGGCGGAAGGGCGACGACGGACAACGGGGGTGAGAGGGGAGAAGCGGAGGGGTGGAGGAGGAGAGGGCTGGTGGGGGAGGATGGGAGGGGGGAGGGGAAGGAGAAGCGGGAGAGGGAGGGGAACTTGCAACACGTCCAGTCGCGCTACGTACAGCTCGTCTGGTGCAAAGACAGGACATCAAGGCGTCAAGCTCCGCCTCCGCCAACCGGCCCAAAAGATCGGCCATGTCTTGTAGGCTCGTGGCCGTCCCAGACTAAGGGCACGAGACCGACGTCGAGCACGGCCACGCCCTCGCAAGTGTGAGCCATCTTCTCCCCCTGGCCTTGTCCATCGCCTGCTTGACTCCAACCAGTAAGTGCGCCAACATGGGTAACAGGGAGACTCGACGATCGAATGATCCCGTCACGCCCGATCTTTAAGGTGGGCACCCGTGGCCGAAGGACGATATTTTGATCTCGCGGCGCTCTGACGCTCTCAAATGTACCACATCCTGGTAGGGCAACGGAAGGGGGTGAGCTGGCTCAGGGGAGGGGAACTGGAAGCATCCCAGATGGGGTCCGAGTAGATGGGGTCGGAGGATCGCGCCGCATCGGCGATACATCGCCGATACATCGCCGATGCATCGTCGACTTCGGCGATGCAACGGCGACGTCGGCTTGAAAGGAATCGGGCTCCACATCGAGCCAGAAGCCCCCACCAGAATCCAACCTTCTGGCCATTCGGCGTCACGCCAAGCGGGACGGCTGCAAGACCTGCCAACGTCTTCCGCGATGCTCGCCATCGCTCGGACGTCCATTTCGAGTGCATGATTCGATTTCGCGCGGGCCTGTTTTCGCAAGATAACCAAATATGATCCGCGATGGCCCTCGCCAAGGAAAAATGCACACGCCCGAGCGATGCCCAAGACGTTCAGGCTCCCGAAAGCAAGCCCGTGTTCCTGCCGCTGGACCACGTCTGAATAGTTTTTTACGCTACCAAGCGTCATGTTGAGATGGAAGGCTCCGCACACGGCCAGAGCGTGTCGGTGGTTCAAAGATGGGGTCCTGAAGGATGGGGGCCTACGGGTAGGAAGGGATCCAAGGGTGAAGTTCCGTTGGTTGAGACACCTCGTCCTCATATACCCATCCCTCAGGACCCCAGCTTTGGACCACCGAGCGCATGGGCCCCAGCCCCCATTCCCAGCGCCAGACAAGATAAATTCCTGGCGATGGAAATTACGACCATCAATCTCGGAAGCAGAGGCTTGACTCAGGAAACCAACGAGTCGGCAGCCTTGGCCGAAGCGAGCATGCTCGCCGTGCCTGCTGATCACAGCGGGCTGCCATCGGAACGCCGAGGTTGCAGTCTTGCGCCATGAAGTCTGCGAGGAAAGCATTGACTACGGAGCATGCCACACATCCGAAAACACCTAGGGCAAGTGTGATGAGCACGGTCGGTGTATAAACGCAGGCCAACACCCGTCGCTGGGCCGCCGATTAGCACCAGGGCTCACTGTCCGATCATTCTTCGGGCGAGTCGCCCACGAATCACTACGGTCGCCAACATGAGCCCACCATCGGAGCACCTAAAGACGCGCCACACGTTGCAGCTCCTTCAGCAGAGAGGAGCATCCCGCCAGTGCCATCGTTAGCCCTTGTCAGCACCGCCGAGAACCGAGAACCGGGCAGCCACTTCCGCGCGCCCTGCCCGAGTTGCTTGCGAGCCAAGCAGGCAGAAGGCAAGTGGCACACATCCTCCAAGCTGAACGGCTGCAAGTATCCGGCAGAGCGAAGTGGAGCGGAGCGGCGCCGATGTCGCCCAGAGGGCGTCCCGCCCAGAGGGCGTCCCGTGCAGGGAACGGCGGGTGCGCCGGGGAGCCTCAGCTCCGAACTCGGACCCCGGCCGAAGTCGGAAAGTAGGGAGCTGGAGTCGCAAACTTGGGAGCTGGAGTCGGAGGGACGGGCGCTGGATTCGGGAAGCTGGCCGCCGAAATCGGGACGCAGGGAGCAGGAGTCGGAGAGAAGGGCGTCTGAGTCGGAGTACCTGGCAGAGCAGTAACACGAAGACAGAGGTAACGACAGACGTGACGATTGACATGATGCGCAGCGCAACTCCACCAGCGAATGCGAGAACACTGAAGCCCGCACACTAGATCCATGCCGTCTGCCATCCGTCCCACAAGAGTCGCCGACATGCCACCAACCACCTCGTATACCAATGCGATGTTGCTTCCTAAATCCCATCAGTCCTCTTGGCTGGGGTGGCCTAACGCGTTTCCTTTTCCAACCCCTGTATTCCCATTCGGGAAGTGGTCGATCACTGCTCCTCATCGATACCCACCGCATCCTCCACCCTGCAGGCCACTAACCAGGGCCAGTGCACTCTCCTCCAGCCATCCCTGCCAAAGAGAGGTACGACATTCGCTTTGCGGTCAAATCCTGACCATGTTCGGAAGCCCCGCGGGCTAACTGAGGACCCCCCACACTTCTTTGGCCGATGTCCTCCAAGGTGGCCACAAGGAGGGCCCAGAACGCCCCGAGGAAGACCCAAAAGACGCGCAAAAGGACCCCACGGGAGCCGCAGAGGCATCCCAAATGACCCCATGAGTACCGCGAGATGGCCCCTGTAAGCTGCCAAAGGGTGAAAAGATCGAAAACTCAGAGAATGCTTTGGATAGTTGATTTCTGGGTCTGATCAAGCTGATCATGGGCTTCGGGCTGATGGCTGTCCCACTTCCCTGATCAATGCAAATCGCCAGGACATCGTTTTTAGATGAACTGGTGGGGAAAATCGGTCAGGCCGAACCGTTCGCCGGAGCCCCGTCATATGAATTGAGATAAGGACCGGCTCGGCCAGAACGCACATCTGCAGCCATACCACTGGCACGAGCGGCTGTCGAAAATGTGTGAGCCTCCACAGCGGGCGCGGAAACCTGGCATGTATAGTAATCGTGCTTCTGAAGAATAGATGGTGCTTCTCTTTTTCCACATCCACCCCCCCTTCCTCCTCCTCCCCCCTTCCCCCCTGCCCCAATCAGCTAGCGAAGAATTTCACCCACGTTCGTTTGCGACGGCGCATACAATCATCATGAAACGAAATTTGGCACCTTGAAAATGGCTCCATCCTACAAGAAGTATTCCGTGAAATATGAAGATCGGCGTTGCAGTGCAACGTTCACGTTGGTATATGACACGGAGATGGAGCTCGTTGGAGAGTCTCATGATGCATGGGTCAAAGGCGACAGCGCTCATCTTCGGCGCAAAAATGCGTGTTGGATGCCTATCTTTGCTTGCGTGCCCCATCCTCCATCTCCTGCTCATCATCATGCGCCTCATCCGCCTCCTTCTCCTCTTCTTCCTCGTCCTCCCCCTCCTCCGCCTCCACCTCCGCTTCCACATTCGCGACCTCCTCCTCCTCCTCCTCCTCCTCCTCCTCATCCGCCTCCTCCTCCACCTCCTCTTTATCCGCCTCATCTGCCTGCTCTTCCTCATAAGCCTCCTCCTTCTCCTCTCAACCTCCTCCTCCTTCTTGCCCCTCGCGCTCGTCCTCCTCTGGGATCCCCCGACCTCCTCGGGATGCCAGCGGCACGGAGCCCCTCCCCAGCAGGATTCCGGGTTTCGCGTACGGGCAGGGTCCCCAGCAGTCCTGATCGGCCCCACTCCGAGGGAACAAGAGCTGACGGATCGAAACTCATTGGTCCATGGGCGCTGTCCTCCCTGGAGGAAGAGGGGGATGATGATGACGATGACGATGACGATGACGATGATGAGGAGGGGGAGGAGGGGGAACAGGAGGAGGAAGAGGAGAAGGAAGACGATGAAGAGGAGGAGGAGGAGGTGGAGGAGGGTCGAGCAGAGCAGGATAGAGCTTGGTGAGGGGGAGGTTCCGGAAGAAGGAGACAAAGCAGAAGACGAGGAAGATGAAGAATAAGAAAAAACACAAAAAAATGACACAACATGAACTGTCGGAGGTCCGCGCAGACCTCCGAAAGATGACGTTTGGGCGATCGCTGCCGTCAAGTCGCTGAGCCCGACTGCTGGGCATCGGGCGCTGCCAGCGCCACCCGAGACACGGGAGCGCCCACGCGCCCGACAACGAATGACTTGAGTGCAAAAGCGCGAAGCCGCAAACATTGTCCTCGGGGATGGACAGAACCCCCTTTAGTGAAACGTGGTTTAGTGAAAACGACCTCGGGCCCAAACCTGGCGGGCGCAAGCCTGGAAAATGACGGCCGTGGCGCCATCTCGAGAACCGACAACGGACAATTCACTAATTGACGTGTCAGGGTGGAGGTTCTGTCCACCCCCGATGTCAAGTGAATACCAGGGAATGGGCGTCGCGGGCGCGTGCGAGAACGCCTCGGGCTACCCACTACTGCTGGGGGCCCGCGGAAGCCGGCCAGGGCTGCATCTGGGGGCCGCCTGGGCACAAGATTACCCTCCTCCTCCTCCTCCTCCTCCTCCTCCTCCTTCGCCGCTGGCCCGCTGCTGCCTCCTCCTCCTCCCCTTCCTCATCCCCATTCCCCTCCCCTCTGCCCCCGTACACAATTACTCCATATGAATACTACTCTCCCTGTTCCCCTGATGACGGTTTGAAAATGCTCGACCCCCCCGCGAATTGAATTTTTACACACAGGTTTCCCCGGAGTTGGGTTTTCGCCTGCATTTGTTTCAAAATGCTGCTCTCGCTGAGGCGCCGGCCTCATTTTCGGGCCCGCTCGTTCCCGAATCGTGCTCCCGCTGCAGCGCTGGCCTCATTTTCCTGCCTCCGCTCGTTCCGAATCGTGCTCCCGCTGCAGCGCTGGCCTCATTTCCGCGCTTCCGCTCGTTTCGACTCGTGCTCCCGCTGCAGCGCTGGCGTCATTGCCCGTGCCATGCCACGGCATGCAATGCAATGCTAGGTTGATACTACGCTTTGCGGTGCTCTTCTACGCCATGCCATGCCGTGCTCTACAATGCATCGCGTACCCTTTCGGGATCATTGCCCTGCTCGACATCCGACTGTGCGAGTAGAGAGGGGATCTGCGCCATGGTAAGGGATGGGAGGGAGGGGTAGGATGTCAGATATGACGCGAACGCACCTTGCTTGCCCCCCTCCCTCTCCCCCCCTTCCCGTCCCCATCCCCCTCTGACTCTCCTCTCCTCCCCCCTCCCTCATTTCCCTCCCCCACCCCTCCTCCCCCTCCCCCATACACCCCAATCGTCCTTATGGGTAACTCCTCCCTGTCGCGCCTCCAGACGTGTCGGTAGGGCGGGCAGGGCGTCTCGCCGCAGACTTCCTCACCACGCATAACCCCGAATACAAACATTTGCAACAGCTTCATAGATGGAGGGGTGACGGTTTACAAAATGCGGCTCTCGCCTTAGTGCAGCGCGTACTCGTTTTCAAAATGTCAGAAGCCTCCAGGATCGATGAGGTGGTTTTCAAAATATTGTTCTCGCCTTAGTGCCGCGCGCGTTCGTGCAAAAGCTGTAACAACTTCAATAGTGCAGGGGAGTGTGCTTCAAAATGTTGCACCGACCTTACCACGGCGCGCGTTCGGATTCAAGTCTGCTACAGCTGCTAGAATGGAGGGCGGTTCTTTAAGAAATGGCCCTCTCGTCTTGGCGCCGCGCACATTCGTCTTAAAGCGTTGCAGCAGTTTTGGGAAATGGAGGGCAGTGGATTTCCCAAAAATGGCTCTCGCCCCAGCACCGCGCTCACTCGTCTTCAAAGCTTGCTTCAACTTCAAGGATGGCCAGACGGTCGGTCGCGTCCGAAATGTGTTTATGACTCAGTGCCACGCACAGGACTCGAAACGTGTTGCAACAATTTCGCGTTCAAAGTGGTGCGCTCGCCTTACCGTGGCGCACAACAGCGCCAAAACAACATATTGCGACGAATGCGGGGACTGATCACAGGTCGTTTGCAAGATGGCGCTCTCGCCTTAGCACCGCGCACATTCGCACTCTGAGTGCAGAATTCAGCAGGATGGAGGATTGTTCTTGTTCCCAGCTCGGATTCCCGCTCGAGAATTCGCGACTGACAACGCTGGATCTGCAGAGCATGCAGAACTGCACGGATCCAGGGCGGCTCGTGCTTCAAGACGGAACTGTAGCTCGAGCCTTCCTCGAACCTCGCGGCCGCAATCGTGCACCTGTACACCACTTACCCAGGCGGGGGGTCGTCAATCGAGAGCGGGATCTCTCTGGACACACCGTTGATCTGCATGACCATGAGACATCAATAATTCTTTGGGTTCTTGATTGCGCACCAGAATGGGGCAAACCAGTTCCGCTTCAAAGCGGGGACCTCGCAAATATAACAGACCTAGCTAAGCTGGTCGTTCAAGAGGGTGCTTCTTCCAGGGGGAGAAAACTTACAAGGACCTATGTGGAGGGGACTTGGGACGGGAGGGTGTATTGCAGCATGGCTGATGCATCTTGCGTTCACTCTGCTCCTCCATCTCCTCCTTCCCTCTACGTCCTCCGCCTCCCCTGCTTATCATCCGCTCTCATTCCTACTCCTCCTCCGCACGCAACTGAGACGAGATCCCGACCCCATGTGTCCATATTGCTCCTCGGGCCTGATCGATCCGAAAAGATCCCGGGATCCAAGACGGGACAGCGCCCGCCGTGATTCGGTCGTTGCCCACGGGTCTGCTGGTCGGGCACGGTGGCGGGGCGTCCCGCAGGCAGCGGCATATCTACGCAGCTCACAAGCGCGGTCGCGCCAGTCAGAGACTACGAGCTCATCTTTTGTTGAACCTCGCCTTCCACCTCCTCATCTTCACCGTTTGTATCCGTTCCTCGTCTACTCCTCTTCCTCCTGGTCCTCCCCTTCTCCTATCCCTCTCCCTTCTCCTCCTTGACGCTGCGGAGATCAGCGAGTCAATTCTTGCGTCTGGGACCAGCACGGAGGGCCACGTCGTCCCGTTGCTCCAATGGAGGGCGTCGTCCTGCGGCCGCAGCGATGTAAAGAGGAGGAGGAGAAGGACAAGGATGGGATAATAATGGAAGACAGAGGAGGGGTGACAATGAAAGAGATGAAAGGATAGCGATGCCGACATAATGAGGCGAGATGTACCAACACCCTTCTGCACGCGAGGCGAATGAATGTATGAACACCCCATGCACGATCTGCGCTGCCCTATTCTCCGCCCGGCCTCGCAACCATCCAAAGAATTGCGGGGTCTTAGTTACTCCGCTACTCCGCCGTACATCCCATAAGCCCACGACAATGGCGACGGTTGCGCAATTCGCGGGCACCCAGGGAGCTGCGAGGTCTCGGAAACTCCGCCACTCCGCCGTGCATCCCAAGAGCCCACTAAAGTGACGACGGTTGCGCGACACGCAACCACTCAAGGAACTGCGAAATATCGGATACTCCGCCACTCCGCCGCGCCTGCATGGAGCCCACGAAAGTGGCGACGGTTGCGCAAGTCGGAGCCCCCCCCAGGAGCTGTAAGGTGTCGGGTACTCCACTACTCCGAAATGCCTCCCAGAAGCCTGGGAAAATGGCGACGGTTGCGCATGTCGCAGGTACCCAGGATGCTGCGAGGTCTCGGGGACTCCGCTACGCCGCCGTTCCTCCCAGGAGCCCACGAACGTGGCGACAGTTGCACAGCTCGCAGCTACCTAGGGAGCAGCGCAGAAGGAGACAGGAGGAAGGGGCGGAAGTGGATGGGGTATGCGACCGCAGTGTTCTTCTCAAAACGAGAACCCAACACAGCAGGGTTGGGAAATAGCATGAACCCTGCGTGACCCCAACTGGGGTGGGGGTCTCCCTCTCTGCCAAGGCGATCGAAAGCAATTCTTGCAACTGCGAAACAGAGCTGTGCAAATCACTGCGTGGCACTGCGTGGCATCTCTGCTTGGTGTTGCTCGGCATATCGCTCGGCGGTGCTTGGCAGTGCTTGACACCGTTGCTTGGGAGTGCACGGCGCCGTTTGGCACTGCTCTCCAGTGCTAGGCGAGCAGCACCGAGGAAGACCGAGGACCCCAAGGCAACGGCGGGGGGGAGGAGGACGGGGGAGGAGGAGGAGGAGGAGGAGGAGGAGGAGGAGGAGGAGGAGGAGGAGGAGGAGGAGGAGGAGGAGGGGGAGGAGGAAGGAGGAGGAGGAGGAGGAGGAGGAGGAGGAGGAGGAGAGGAGAGAAGGATGAGGAGGAGGAGGAGGAGGAGGAGGAGGAGGAGGAGGAGGAGAGAAGGAGGACGGAGGAGGGAGGAGGAGGAGGAGGAATAGGAGGAGGGGAGGAGGAGGGGGGAGGGGGAAGGGGAGGAGGAGGAGGAGGAGGAGGAGAAGAGGAGGAGGAGGAGGAGGAGGAGGAGCAGGAGGAGCAGGAGGACGAGGAGGAGGAGGACGAGGAAGAGGAGGAGGAGGAAGAGCAGCAGCAAGAAAATAAAGGGGGAGGGAGGAGAAGGAGGAGGAGGAAAATGAGGAGGAGGAGGAGGAAGAGGAGGAAGAGGAAGAGGAGGAGGAGGAGGAGGAGGAGGAGGAGAACAAAAAAACACAGAGGAACCCCAAGGAAGGCACGCTGGGACCCCCAACCCCCCAAGAGCCCCAACCACGCCGGGCGCCGCTAGCGCATTCAAGCCCTGACCTGGGCACCCGGGCGACGCGGAGCGCTGCCGACGCAAAGAACCAAAACCGACAAACTCCAGCACGTAGCATATCAGAACTAACACCTTGAGTTTGATGGCGCGCGACCGACGGTGCGGCACGTGACATGCTCAGGGAGGGCACCCTGAACAGCAACCAGGGCACCCGAACGGCCGAAAGACTCTGGCAACGGTTTGCGGGGAGACGCAGAGGTGGGGCAGGGGCAAAGGTGGGGCTGGGAGGAAAATCATCTTGAACGGTTCCTGGACGAAGGAACTGTAACCATCCAGCTGGGTCCGTTCCCATGCCCCACCTTGGGATAACCCCCTCTCTACGAGTGCGACGGCCTTGGGGTTGAAGCGTCGCACTCGCACCCGCAAGTTCCCTCAGCGAGCAAATCAAAGCCCCCTGGGCAACCGAGTTGGGAAGGAGCCTCCAGGAAAGGCGGTGGCCACTTCGGCAACGAAGGAAATCTGCCACCCCCTGCCAATTATACATGTACGACCACCCTGCGGGTGATAAGGAGGTGAGGGGGGAGGGGGAACCAACGTCTCACTCAATCGATCTCGCTATCGATCTCACAATCGATCTCACATTCGATCTCACTATCGATATCACTATCGATCTCGCTATCGATCTCACTATCGATCTCACAATCGATCTCACAATCGATCTCACATTCGGTCTCACATTTGGTCTCACTGTCGATCTCACTATCGATCTCACAATCGATCTCACAGTCGATCTCACATTCGGTCTCACATTCGGTCTCACTATCCATCTCACTATCGATCTCACAATCGATCTCACTATCGATCTCTGGGCCCAGAGCCCTGGGACCGACACGGCACGGCGCGAGCGCCCTCAGGAGGTCGCCGCCCCGAGGTGGGGCAAGGCAGAGAAAGCGGGAGGAAGCCGAGAAACCAAGAGGGAGAGGACGGGAGGGAGGAGGCGAGGAAAGGAACGAGCGGAGGGAGACAACGAAGGAGGACACGGTTCGAGGCGAATCCAGCCGTGGCGACGAGTGGCCGATCTCACAATCGATATCACCATCGACGTCGTCATCATCATCATCATCATCAGCAGCATCATCATCATCATCATCATCATCATCATCATCATCAGCATCATCATCAGCATGATCATCATCGACATCACCATCATCATCATCATCATCATCATCATCATCATCATCATCATCATCATCATGAACATCATCATCATCATCATCATCATCGTCATCAGCATCAGCATCAGCATCAGCATCATCATCATCATCATCATCATCAGCATCATCATCATCATCATCAACATCAACGTCATCATCATCATCATCATCATCATCATCATCATCATCATCATCATCATCATCATCGTCATCAGCATCAGCATCAGCATCATCATCATCATCATCACAATCAGCATCACCATCATGGCCATCATGGCCATCATAGCCATCATCACCATCATCACCATCAGCATCGCACAATCGATCTGATTATCGATCTCACAGTCGAACTCCCAATCGATCTCACAATTGACGCCATCATCATCATCATCATCAGCATCATCATCATCATCATCGTCACCATCATCATCATCATCATCAGAATCACCATCATCACCATCATCACCATCATTACCATCATCACCATCATCACCATCATCATCTCACAATAAATCTGACTATCGATGTCACAATCGATGTCACTATCGATCTCACAATCGATCTCACACTCGGTCTCACTATCGATGTCACACTCGATCTCACAATCGACGTCATCATCATCAACAACAACAACACCAACATCATCATCATCATCATCGCCATCATCACCATCATCATCACCATCATTATCATCATAATCATCCACATCATCATCGGGACACCGACGGGACACCGACGGGACACCAGCGGGACACCGGCGGGACACCGCGCGCCACTGGCCGCCCGGAAAAGACACATTTGGTCCGGCCGCGCCTCAGCCACAAGGACACCGACGGGACACCAGCGAGACACTGGCGGGACACCGCGCGCCACAGGCCGCCCGGAAGAGACACATTTGGTCCGGCCGCGCCTCAGCCACAGGGACACCGACGGGACACCAGCGGGACACTGTTGGGACACCGCGCGCCACCGGCCGCCCGGAAGAGACACGTTTGGTCCGGACGCGCCTCAGCCACAGGAGACTTTCCTCTCGCCCGCCCACGCACCTTCGCCTCGCCCGCGCGCACGGCACGCACGAACACGAAACCGAAATCGATTTCCCGGTAGGGGCGCTCTCCGTTCCACTTCGATCTCACCCCCTCACCTCCGACCCTACAACAACAAGCCGTGTCCATCCTCTGTGCGCCCGTGGGCGCATCTCGCACGCGTGTCAAAACATGCGAAGCTGACGCATCAAGACACCGTTGAGCTCATGATGACCCCGAGAGCAGGGTAATGTCAGCTTGCGATTAACAAAAATCCGTGGGGAGCGCGCATGAAAAAATACGGCTCGGGCGAATCGCGGGGTGGCGCCCGCAGGATTATGAAACAACGGGGGCGGCCCCGGTGATTTGCGCCGACGCCCAGCCGCAAGCGGGAAGGCGACAGACAACAAACAACACAAACTGGGAAGGGGAGGGGGCGGGAAGCAAAGGCGGCAAAAGCAAGGACCGTGAGCCAGGGCGACACCGATTTGAAATGAAGAAGAACTGCTGTCGGCACTCGCCCCCGTACTTTCTGTGCCCTTCTCTATCGAAACGGTGCGCTTCCTTCGCCTAAGCCGCAGCAAGGGGGGAACGCCAGCTGCCTCGCGGGCCCGAGAGCAAGGCGGGCTGGACGAAAGGGGGGCGTGGCCAAGAGGAGATTGGCCCAGCAGCTCACGTTGCTGATTTCCCGAGCGCCCCCTGGCGCCGAAAGCGGCCATACATCGAGGACTGGCCCCTCGGATGGGCGACCTAAACCAGCTGCGCGCAGCAGGTTTCGCAACCCCCTGTTCCTTCCCCAGCCTTTCGTCCAACCCGAGCCAAGCGGGCAGTCCTCCTCCCCCCTCTGTCGTGGCCTCTGAACTCGTCGACGACGACGACGACGACGACAACAACGACGACGACGCGACGACGACGACGATGACGACGACTAAGACGAGGACGAGGACGAGGACGGTGACGATGAGAACGAGAACGAGGACGAGGGACGACGACGACGGACGGCGAACGGCAGACGGCGACGGCGGCGCCGACGACGACGCGCTGCGGATGTCCTATGGATGGGGGGGGGGCTGCGCAGGCCCGCTGTACTCGACGACGACGACGACGACGGCGGCGGCGGCGACGACGACGACGACGCCACTCGCCTCGGATGTGCTCGACCCCTTAAAACATTTTTTAATACGACAGGCAATCGTTTTGAGGCTGTCACGCAGCGGGGTACATGATCCCCTTGGCGGCGCCAGCCACGGACCCCGTGCGCGCGTGATTAAAACATGTTTCGCTCCCCGCGGGGTCTACTCATCAACTCCAGGGGGGAAGGGTGGGGTCATTTGTTAATCACAAGCTGACATTGCGCACCACCTGACTACACGAGTTGGACCTAGAGATGCACAACCGACGTCTCAAGACAGTCAGCACGCGCCACGATGGGGAGAGCCAGCGCACGGGGGAATGGTCCAACCTTGAGGCGACCCCAACTGGGTGCTGGAAAATGACATCAGATGCCCGATCCAGCGCAGCGGCCTAGCACCGCTGGAGAGCGGAACTCGGGCCAGCGATGGTCCTGCCTACGAGCCCACGAGGAGACATCGCCCCCCAATCCCCGAAAGCACCCGACCGGGCGCCGTAAGCCGGCGCCCCAGTCGCAGCCACTCGGTTGCCCTGCGAGCCCCGGGCCTCACGAGTCTGCCGTCCAGGCGGACTATGGGCGCCCCTCGTGCGTCCGAACGCTTACCGCCCCCCCCTCCTCCTCCTCCTCCTCCTCCTCCTCCTCCTCCACCTCCTCCTCTTCCTCCTCCTCCTCCTCCTCCTCCTCCTCCTCCTCCCCTCCTCTTTCTCCTCCTCCTGCCCCTCCACCTCCTCCTCCTCCTCCTCCTCCTCCGCCTCCTCCTCCTCCTCCCCCGTCCTCTTCCTCCCCCTCCCCCTCCCCCCCTTGCTTGACGAGGGCCTCGTAGAGCCGCGCGATGGCGCCGCTGGCAGCCGACCCCTCGCCGCACGGTGGCCCAGAGGCGTTCAGCAGCCACGCCTCGACTGCCCCGGCCTCGGGCACGCCGCCACCTCCGGGCGCGCAGGCCCCAGGCCGCCGCCGCCGCGGCCGCTCGCCGCGGCAGTTGCTGCCGACGACGACGACGTCGTCGTCGTCGTCGTCGTCGTCGTCGTCCATCGTCGTCCATCGTCCGTCATCCGTCGTCGTCGACGCTCGCGGCCCCCCAGCGACGGAGAAAACGGCGACGGCGGCGGCTGCGTGACGGCGACGAGGATAAAAGGGGAGGGAGAAGAGGGAGGAAGTGAGGAGGGGGTTGGGGGAATGAGGTGAAGGAGGAGAACAGACGATGAGGTGGAGGTGGACGGTGAGGAGGGGCCCAAAAAGAGAAAATAAAAAGAGGAGGAGAGGAAAGGTCTGGACGTAGAGGGGACCTCCTGAAGCCTCTCAGGGGTCCCTGAAGTCCTTCAGGATTTGCTTGATATCACTGGTGGTGCACACTGGGAGACGCGAGAGGAATGGTGCTTCCTCCCAACGCCCACAGCGCCTAACAGATTCGAGCCACTGTGTCCACCGCCTGAATCACGAGCTGCCTGCGCGCATCCAACGAGATCAGACAGAAATTCTAACCACACGGTGAATGGGCGAGGAGGTAGAGGTAGAAATGGAGGCGGCGGATGCGGATCAGAACGATGAGGTGACGGGGATTGCGGGAATGAGGAGGAGAGGAGAGGAGAGGAGAGGAGAGGAGAGGAGAGGAAAGGAGAGGAGAGGAGAGGAGAGGGGAGGAGAAGAGGAGAGGGAGAGGAGAGGAGAGAGAGGAGAGGAGAGGAGAGGAGGGAGAGAGGAGGTTCGAAGGGGGCGGAGGATGAGGAGGCAGAGAAGAAAATGAAGGACGATACTGAGAGAAAAGATTAAAAGGAAGACGGTGAAGAGGAAGAGAGGGAGGGGACTAATGAGGAGGAGGAGGAGGAGGAGGAGGGCCGAGGTGAGAGAGGACAAGCAGGCTAAGGGGGCGAGGAGAGAGGTGGCCCGACTCCCAGGAGATCCAAGCTCAAGAAAAACAGCCGCCTCGTGGCGGTGGCGGTGGCAAAAGGGGGCTGACGCCCACTGGGTAGACACATGCACATAAGTACGCATGCATATCAATGTGTAGATATTATTGTATATCCACATACGTGTGCACATACAGACACATATACAGTTGCAGGTGTTGATGCAGATACCTATGAACATACATATACACATACCAATGCAACTGCTAATGCCCGTGCATATGCGCATACAGCTATATTAACATATACATACACATGCACGTTTACACATCCATATACACACACGTACACATGCACATCCATGTATACATATATATATAAATGTATACGTAGTCGTACGCCTATTTTATATATATATATGTGTGTATGCACGTATATGTGCGTGTATGTGTAAATATACACATACAATCACATACGCACATGTATATTCATGACAGCAGGTTTCCCTGAATGTTGACACGCACATGCATATACAATGGTACATAAATATACATCTACCTTTACAGATACGAATACAACTACAACTGCGTATACATGTACAAATATGGATACGCAAATTTGTACATGTACATATATATATACACAGATAGGTATATACACGTACAGATGTGTATATACATATGCATACAATTCAACATAGACGTTTGCATACACACATGAATGTGCATGTACACATACATGTGACTGTACATACATGTGACTGTATATGCACATGTGAATGTGCATATACATATACCTAGCCATGTACAGTATACATGCACATGCACATGCACATGAACGTACACATACACATACGCGCACATACATATACATGTGCGTATGCATTTACACATACATTTACAGGAGCAAATATACACCTACACCTACATACTCACACACAGATCACCGACATACATCTGCGTATACGTATAGTGTACAAGTTCATATGCATAGACATACACATACAAACATACATATACAGCCGCAAGCAATTCATATATGCATGTGTGAATACATATGCGTAGACATATCAATATACAGATATGCATACACATGTTCATATTCACGTATGTGCATGCATATACATTAACAATACATGTACATACAAGTATGCAAATACATACATGAAGACAATTACGGAGATCGATTCATAACACATGCATATACATACACATGTCCATACACATATATATATATATATATATGTGTATGCATGTACATACGTACACATCTACATAAACATATCCATACACATATGCAAACCATGCACACAATTATATACGCATATATGTACACACATATGCACGTGCATATATATATATATATATATATATATGGGTGTGTGAATCTTCTGCCAACATAAGAGATCTAGTGCAGGGGGATGGTACTCATAGGACGCGAGAAAGGCATTCCTGCAAAACTGCCCCCTCCCTCGACGAGAATCGAGGAGAGGGCACGTGAATCACCTCACGTACCTGGCCTCTCCGGCGCCACCCTGCGGCAGAGGTGCCAGGGTTATGGAGGGAAGCGCGCCCAGCGGCAGGGCCGAGACCAGCTGCATGAAGCAGATTTCGAACACCCTCCTGTACTCCTCCTCCTCCTGCTCCTCCTCCTCCTCCTCCTCCTCCTCCTCCTCCTCCTCCTCCTCCTCCTCCTCCTCCTCCTCCTCCTCTCTTCTCTTCCTCCTTCTCCTCGTCCTCCTCCTCCCCCTCCTCCTGTTCCTCCTCCTCCTCCTGTTCCTCCTCCTCCTCCGCCTCGCTCCTCCCCCACCTCGGCCCACATGATCCCCATCTCATGGCTTTCGGGTCATGTCCAACTCGGGCATCTGGCGGCCGCTATCGGGACGATACGGGCACCCTGGAGACGCTTTCGGCGAGGAGCAGCTGCTGGAGAGCATCCCAAGGCTGGAAAACCGCCAAGAACCGACGAAGACAGCCGAGAACCTCGAGCACCGAACCAAGGACGACGCCCAACCCGAAACGTTCCCATAGATCATCAACGAGAATACACAACCATTTCCCGAATTGATAAGCCGTGAGGGAACCTCTAATCCTTTTGGAGGGGACCTGAGTCACAAAGCCCAAAAACATCAGGACTACGGGATCTTTTGTTGCAAGACGAGACCACCCTGATGATTTGGGGAATATCCCTAAAACCATGGACCTACGATAGGGTGTCCTAGTATTGGGGTCAAGGATTGCATTACGCCTCATGACTACAGTGGAGGCCAGTCCACAAGACACCGTCCACAAGAAACCGAACCCTGAGACCCCAGGACGCCCATGGAGTCTTGGTGTGGGCGCGTCGCGCCTTCCACCGCAAAACCATCGAAACCCAGGAAGCCCAGGGCACCCCGGAGGCAAGCGGGGTGCCTCTTGGCATGGGCCTCCCTTCTATGCACCCCGCCGGGCCGACCCGCTGCTCCCCCTTTGCGCCCGACCCGAGAGGAGCACGTGGACGAGGCTCGCAGCCCCCCCCCCCGAGGGCTCTTGGCGGCCCCGGCCACCGCCGGCGCTGGTGAGCTGCAGGGAGAACGGGGCGCCCGCGACCGCCCAGCCGAGCGGCACGCCGGCCACCTGTGAGCAGAGGCGACGGCAGGCACGACGACGACGACGACCACGAGGGCGGGGACGACGACCGCGAGGAGGAGGAGGCCCCAGGAGGAGGCAACTCCTGGGAGGTCTTCACAGCGACTGAGGGCTGCCAGGCCCGAGCAAAGGGCCACTGCGCCAGATGAGGCCTGATTGAGCCAAGGACTGAGCCGGATGAAGCGGCATGAAAGCGGGTTGGCCCAGATTGCACGGGATCAAGCGGTACCGAGCCAGAGCAGGCCGCTTTTCGACGAGGGATCTCCCAAGACTTGGCCCAGCAGTTGCATCCTGAGACCCAGACCCCCACGCATCGTCAGAAAATCACGAAGGGAACTGTGCGGCAATTTGCGGCCCTCAGGAACCCTTGCGGGCACCAGGGCCGTCAAAAACCATGCAAACTAGCAAGATAGTCCTGGGGAATGTCAAAGAGACAGTGGTAATGCTTCGGGCTGCGCGCAGACAGCTCCCCAAGTAGTCCCAGCTGGCCTGAGCACGCCGTCCCACGGTGGCGGCCGGCGACGATGATAGCAACGGTTCGATTGATGTTTCATCTTCCACCGGTGTGTTGGAAGAACAAATGCACATATCTCGTTTCGGCCAGGACCGCGACGACCCCGAATGCGGTCGACGATGCCCGACGACGGCAGCGAGAGCGACGACGGCGACGCCAACAACGACGCCAACGGCGACGGCGACGGCGAAGACGAAGACAACGACGACGACGACGACGACCTGCTCGCCCAGGGCCGCGCGCGCTGGCCCGAGCACGTCCACCGCCGCGAGCTCCACCCACGCGGCAGACTCCCCCGGCGCCCGCCAGCAGATCAGCACCTCGCCAGGCAGCAGCGCCTGCCGCCAGCGCCGGGTGGCCGCCACCGCCGTCGCTCCGAAAGCCCCTCTGGAAAACCCGCCCAAGGATGATCGTGGTGGTTGCTAACGGGATAGGGGGTTACAATTGGATGCTAAGGTGGACTATATCTGGCGTGAGCTATCGTCTAGCGGGCTACATAAGCCCCAAAAGTCTTGGCTGGGCCCGATACGTCCGCCAGGCAATGAACAAGCCACCTCGGCATCCGTGCACATCCCCCCCATTGATCCCCTGAGCAAGAGCCCCGCGCCCATAGCAGCTCGGACCCTCGGAGGCCTCCGCAAGGCTGGGGCCTCCACAGGCTCCTCCTCCTCCTCCTCCTCCTCCTCCTCCTCCTCTTCTTCCTCCTCCTCCTCCTCCTCCTCCGCCGCCTCCTCCTCCTCCTCGACGATACGACGAGGAGGCGCCTCCTCGGCCGATCTGCGGCCGTCGACCCCCCGGTCCCCGATCCCCGATCCTCGGCCCTCCTCCTCCCTATCTGGTCCTCGCTGCCGCTCGAGCCTCGAACCCCCCTCCTCCGAATTGATGTTCCCCAAGTGAAGGGGCCCCAGGACACACAAATAAATACACACAAATAAAAATATTCCCCATATTTTCTCATATTTTCTGGGTTTCTGTCTTCCCCACCACTTCCCATATTTTCCCATATTTTCCTGGGAGTCGACGATTAATTGTGTCTGTGTGTTTTTTTCCCTCCTGGCCAAGGTCCTCCTCCTCGGTCATCGACCTCCCCCCGCCCCCGGGGGGGGGGGCGCCGGGGACCGCTGCAGAAGCCTCCGGGTGACGCCGGCCCTCGGTAGAGGGCAAAGCATCCACCCCCATGATGACCACCCCGGCACGCGAAGCCGCTCCGCAGGCGCGCCCAAAGAAAGAAGGAAGCAAACAAAAGGGCAAGGCTGCTTCGTAAACGCCCAGGGCCGTTCGGTACGCGCCGATTGTCGGGTCCGGGCGGTTTTGAAGGGGCCCTGGGACACACAAATGAACAAACACAAATAACAGGACTACCCATATTTTCTTATATTTTCGGGGTTTTTGTCTTCCCCCCCACTTCCCATAGTTTCCCATATTTTCTAGGAAATCGACGATGAATTGTGCCTGTGTGTTGTTTTCCCTCCTGAGGTTTTTCCTCCCCTGACTCGGCGTCGCCGCCGTCGCCCTCGCCGCCGCCTCTGCCGCCGCGGCCCCAGGAAGTGGCCGCCGCGGGCGCCGTCTCTCCGCCCGTCGCGGCGGGGGGGGGGACGAGGGGCGGCCTCTGGGGGGGGGGGGGGGCGGGGCTCGGCGCGCTCGTCGGCGGCCCGCGGGGAGCCTCGGAGGGTCTTCGGCGGGGCGCTCCGCGGGTGTTTTTTTTGTTTGGTCGGGCCTATCCTCCTGCCACGCGGATGGTGACGGAAAAAACGAAGCACAGCAAAAACAAAGCACAGCAACATTTCGGAAGCATGTTAGAAAGCATCGTCCCCAGACTACTGAGGCGTAGCGAGAGTTCCCTTGGAAGCACGGAAGACCTCCAGACGACCTAGACAGGACGCCTGGGCGGCCCCATGGCCCCAAGATGGTTCCACGACGGCCTCAGACGGGCACCAAGATGACCTCGGGGCGACCCCAAGAAGACCCCGTGGCCCCTGCAGGATCCAGACGCAGCGTCGAAATGGCCTGGGGGCGAATCCAAGATGGCCCAAGATGTGAGCGATGCCCTGGAGACCAGGCGCGGTGGCCCCAGAGCGACCCCGAGGCGGCCGGAGCATTCCCAGAGTACAACACCATGATCTTCAGATGACCTGGGGATAATTTCAAGATGCCCTCAAGACGACCCGAACACGTCATACATTGTCGCGATCGGATCCCACCGCCGGACTTTACCTGGACTTTATTTTGTATGGGTGGGACGTATGATTGGCTGGGTACTACTCCCCAAGGATCCCGCCGAGACCACGCAAGAGGGCTATCTTGCTAGGCTTCCAGGGGGGGAGGGGGGTTCAACGCATCCTACCCCTCATCCCAGTCGGGGCCGTCGCCAAGAGGGGTGCAACGTAGGCGAGCACACAATGCCATCGGGCCCAACCTTAGTGGGCCCCGGAAACCTCAGGGCCGTTTTTTCACCGTTTCCGAACAAAATGCCCCTTAAAAATGGATTATCCCGGCAAAGCAACCTAACAGCGATGCGTAGGAGCATATCTGGAAGCATCCCCCTTAAGATTCAGATGAGAACCCAGTTGTAGAATTCTGCTGTTCTCGCAGTCGCAGTCGCATTCGCGAAGACAGTCGCAGCGGCAACGGCAGTCGCAGTCACCGCCTCAGCCTCAGCCTGCCTCAGCCTCAGCCTGCCTCAGCCTCAGCCTCAGCCTGCCTCAGCCTCAGCCTCAGCCTGCCTGAGCCTCAGCCTGCCTCAGCCTCAGCCTCAGCCTCAGCCTGCCTCAGCCTCAGCCTGCCTCAGCCTCAGCCTGCATCAGCCTCAGCCTCAGCCTGCCTCAGCCTCAGCCTCAGCCTGCCTCAGCCTCAGCCTCATCAGCCTCAGCCTCAGCCTCAGCCTGCAGCCTCAGCCTGCCTCAGCCTCAGCCTCAGCCTGCTTCAGCCTCAGCCTCAGTCTGCCTTCAGCCTCGGCCTCAGCCTCAGCCTGCCTCAGCCTCAGCCTGCATCAGCCTCAGCCTCAGCCTCAGCCTGCCTCAGCATCAGCCTGCCTCAGCCTCAGCCTCAGCCTGCCTCAGCCTCAGCCTCAGCCTCAGCTTCAGCCTCAGCCTCAGTCTGCCTTCAGCCTCGGCCTCAGCCTCAGCCTGCCTCAGCCTCAGCCTGCATCAGCCTCAGCCTCAGCCTCAGCCTGCCTCAGCATCAGCCTGCCTCAGCCTCAGCCTGCCTCAGCCTCAGCCTGCTCAGCCAGGCTCAGCAGCCTCAGCCTCAGCAGCCTCCTCCTGCTTCAGCCTCAGCCTCAGCCCTTCAGCCTCGGCCTCAGCCTCAGCCTGCCTCAGCCTCAGCCTCAGCCTGCATCAGCCTGAGCCTCAGCCTCAGCCTGCCTCAGCATCAGCCTGCTTCAGCTTCAGCCTCAGCCTCAGCCTCAGCCTGCTTCAGCCTCAGCCTAAGTCTGCCTTCAGCCTCGGCCTCAGCTTCAGCCTGCCTCAGCCTCAGCCTCAGCCTGCCTCGGCATTCAAAATGTGGCCCGCGAATGGAGTTCTGGGAATTCGAAAACCACGGCATTCAAATGTGGCCTGCCTCAGCCTCAGCCTCAGCCTCAGCCTGCCTCGGCATTCAAATGTGGCCTGCAGTTGGCTCCGGGCATTCAAAATCATACCCAGGAATGGAGTTTTGGACCTTCGAAGACCACGAAGTGGACTACAGTTGGCTCCGGGCATTCAAACTGTGGCCTGGGAATGAAGTTTTGGGAACTCGAAGAGCACGAAGTGGCCTACATTTGGCTCCGGGCATTCAAAATGTGGCCCGGGAATGGAGTTCTGGGAACTCGAAGAACACGAAGTGGCCTACAGTTGGCTCCCGGCATTCAGAATGTGGCCCAGGAATGGAGTTCTGGGAAGTCGAAGAGCACGAAGTGGCCTACAGTTGGCTCCGGGCATTCAAAATGTGGCCCAGGAATGGAATTCTGGGAAGTCGAAGAACACGAAGTGGCCTACAGTTGGCTCCGGGCATTCAAAATGTGGCCCGGGAATGGAGTTCTGGGAGGTCGAAGAGCACGAAGTGTGTGACTGTTTGCTTAAAACGAGCCCGGCCCTCGCCTGTCCGGCTCCCGCCCAGACCCCCCTGGGGAGTCATCAGGTGCTCCCTTTTGACCCCATTAGAAACCTATCAATCTTCGCTGTTAAGTAAAACGGCAAAAAAACGGCGACCGGAAACGGCAACAAAAACGGCTCCAGGAATGAAACCGGAGCGGGAACCCGTAAAAGAACGGCGACGGAACCGGTAAAAAAACGGCGTCGGAACCGGCAACAAAAACGGCAAAACGGAACCGGTAAAAAAACGGTCCTGTCGTGTCCAGGGCCCACTAAGGGCCCAACTCCGAAAGTTCAAGGAACTTTCGGAGCGGCGATGTATTGTTTGGTTATGTTTTGTATATTTGCCCTGTACGTAGGCGGACATGCCCAACTTGTAAGGTTGCTGGAATTCCCCGAAGGGTGCTGGAGGTGCGGGGCGGGGCCTGGAAGCTCCAGAGGGCTTCGCGAGTTTCTGAAACTTCCTCCTCCTCCTCCTCCTCCTCCTCCCTCCTCCTCCCTCCTCGTCCTTCTCCTCGTCCTCCTCTCCTCCTCCTCCTCCTCCTCCTCTCCTCCTCCTCCTCCTCCTCGTTCTCCTCCTCCTCCCCTCCTCCTCCTCCTCCTCCTCCTCCTCCTCCTCCTCCTCCTTCTCGTGCACTTCCGTCGGGTTCCGTGTCTCTCGGGGCGGGGCCGGTGGGCCTCGGAACGCCCCGCGGGTGCGTGGAGTTTGTCTGATCATGTCGCCGGTGACAGGAGGCGGGACATTTCCTGCGCGATCCGGAATCTCTCCAGAAATTCGAAAGAGCGTCTTCTGAGACAGCTGGGCTGGGCCGCCCGGAAGGTCGGGGGCCGAACCGCCCCCCTTCGAGCTTGGACCGCCCCCCTTCGGGCCGAACCGCCCCCATTTTTTGTCCACCGGCTACCACCGCCAAGCGAAGGTGATCCATCCTATGCTCTGTATTCGTCGCCAGAGGAGAAGACGAAGGCGTATGAGGCATGGAAAAAGATACAGTGCGGGCGCGGTCGCAAGAAACCCTCGCAAGAAACCCAACCCTGGAAACCCGCGCGCGAGGTGCACCTGGGGGGAAAACCCGAGCATCCTGAACGAATCAGCTCCTTTGACGGCCGCAGAAAGTCACCGCGCAGCGCGCGGAACGCAGAAACCCAGGGCACCCTGACGAAACTCTGATGGTTTCTGGATGCGCGCCTCCACTGCACATCCTGCCTATCCTTGGCAAGACCTGCTCGGACCCACGGAGAAATCGAGAGACGCGGAGAACACCTCCCCGAGGGGACGTCATTCCCCGCGCCCCTCGGCACGCCCGCGGGCCCCAGATCCCGGTCGCTCGCAGGCCCGCGCGCCGCCCCGGGTCTCGAGCTCGTGCTCTGGGCGATTGGCCCTGTGGCTATCGTTAGGTCGGGCATGTCCTCAGACAGGGGGATTTTGGACGACAAATAAAAAATACCCCAACAAAAACTCAAACATAGCCCAAAATACCCCAAAAGTCGTCCCCCGATTATGTTTCTACGATTCGTGAATCTACCCCTGTAGCGGGACTGGGCCGACTGAAGGCTATCGGCACCTCCAGCTTCGGGGGCGCGCTTGGCGTCCGTGTCCCTGTCCATGCTGTCGGATGCACGCGGGCACGTCGCCCAGCGAGTTGCGCACCTCTCGGGGGACCCTTGGGGTCAACCCACGGGATTCCAGGGCCCGTGTTGCTCTGATCGTCCGCCCGCTGTCCTCCAGGGGCGCAGCCCCTGGCGACGCGCTGACGGCGGGGGGGCGCCCTGGCGCGCGATCCCGCAGGGCCCCTGGATCGCGGCAAGGGCTGCTCGGGCAGGTCGGCTGGCGCTGTCGATGCACCCGCAGGCGCCGGAGCGGCTGGCTGGTCACTGGCGGTCCTGGCGGGGTGCTCCTCGGGGTGCTGGCCGAACGGCCTGTTGGGATCCAGCTCCTCCTCGATCGGCAGCCCTAACCCGTCCACTTACACCTCGGCGTCATCTCCAGCGGGTAGATGATCGCCCTCGCGGGCCCGAGAATGGGTGCGACCTGTCGAGCACAAGCTCCGCACTGCCGGCAAGGGCCGAGCGGTGCGCTTGTCCATCTCGTAGCTGACGCGTTGTCTCGGCATCGGCCGCCGTTCGCAGCTGCCTTGGGCGCGGCCTTCAGGACGTGCCCTCGTTGGGACATCAGCGCCACGCGCCAGCGCCAGCAGTCCTCGGGGTACCGCAGTTGCGAGAGCACAGCTGCTTCGAGATATTGGACGTCTTGTCTTCGCCCCCCTGTGCCGGATGGCCGCCTTCCCCGAGGCCACTGATCCCCCGCCCGTGGCAGCACCCGCCGAGAAGCGCCGCACTCTGGCGAAGCAGCGCCCGGAGAGCCCCAGGCGAGGGGCGCCCAGGCTCAGTGCGCAGCGAGCGGGGGGATCGCCGCGCAACCTCGGTGTGCCGACGGTCGGCCTCGGGCAGCAAGCCCAGGCCATGCGAGCGAACGTCGCGTCGCCGGCGCGCTGGGCGCCGCCGAAGTCGCGGCGCGCCGCGAGCCACGGCCCCTGGGCGCCCTGGTGCGACGTCGCCCCATGCCCGCGAGGGCGGGCCATCTCATCGGCGCCACGGCGAAAAAGGCACCCTGGCACCCAGTCGCGCCCATCCGCGGACAGGGCGCGCCAATGAACTGATCGCGCAGATGTGCATCGGGCTCCCCTCGGAGACTCCTGGAGACAACGACAACAAAAGAACACCGCCGCCGCCTCCTGATTGTGGACCGCGGCCTTCCCTCCAAGGCGGGAGAGCGAGCCGGCGACCCCGAAGTCGCTTTCCCGCGCGGCCGGCGTCGAAGAAGCGGGCGGGGGCACGGCCCCCGTGGCCCGATGCCTGTCCTGCGATGCTGGCGCGCCGGAGGCCCGGGGCGCGGCCGCGGATGTCCAACGCTTCCACGTGATGCGTGTTTTGGGGACTCCCGAGAGATAGGCCTACACGTTCGAGAAGCCCAGGGCAGCCTCCTAAGAGAACTCGAAAGCGCGCTGGCAGCGTGCCAGAGAAAGCGAACTCTGAGCCATCCCAGATTTCCGACGTCTTGACTTGCGAAGCACAGGGCCCCCCGACCTCTCGGGCGCCTATGTCCAGAACCAGCGCGTCTCGCTCAGCGTCGACTTTGGAAGGCCCAGGGCCCGAAACGATCTTCGAGATGACGTGCAGAGGGGACATCAGCATGGAAGAAGACACCGCGACGCCAGAGGCCTGGGTGAGGAAGAGGCTCGAGAGATGAGGGAAGGCACACCAGCACACGGAAACCAAGCTGACACGACGCGCGCGGACGCCCGCGCACACTTCTGGGGCGGGAGCTGGCCCTCCCCTCCCATACGGGCATCCTACATGGGGTCGGAGGATCGCGCCGCATCGCCGACACGTCGGCGATGCATCGCCGATGCATTGGCGATGCCTTGGCGACGTCGGCGATGCATCGGCGACGCCAGCCTAGAGAGAAGTCGGGCCCCGCATCGAGCCGCATCGGCGATGCATCGGCGATGCGGCGCGGTCCTCCGACCCCCAGCTCCGACCCCATCTGGGAGGCCCAGATCCCAACGCCCCTTCCCGCGGCGCACGGAGCGCACCCGGGGCGGCGCAGGGGCCCCGTGGCGCCGCCCGGGGGGGCGTGGCGGACGAATCGAGAGGGGGGCAGGGGGGGAGAAGGGAGAGCGCCTTGGAAGGAGGGGCAGATTCTGACAAGGCGCGAGCCCTGCATCTACAGAGGAGGCCCGCGCGTTCCATCAAGCAGGGGTGCTCCCAAGAAGCCGTCCCCCATATAATACCCCTCTGCGCGTGGATGGGAGAAGCTGTGAAAGAATCGGCGCAGACCTCCGAAAGTGCCTGCTTCTGGCGCTGCTTGCTTTTGTGGGAGGCGGAGCCGAGGTCAGTCAGCATCGAATCAGCAGGTCGGATGGAATCGGAACCTGCGTCGGATGGGGCCGCATCGATACGGAGACGCCCGCGCAAGGATGCACGGTAGCACCGTGCAAGCATCGTCGAGCATCGGATCGACGGGATCTCGGAATCGAATCGGATCGGGCCGGTCGAAATCGATATCGAACCGGATCGATCGGCCCAAAAGTTTGGAAATCAACAGGTACCGATACCGCAGTTCCCAGACCTCTCCCGGTGCGCGTCCGGACCAGAATTTCAAAGCGAATCCAGCGGTGGCGACGAGGGCCTCTCAGGAAGCCCCAAAAGGCGACAACGAGAAAGGGGAGCGGTATCGCTACCTTTTCCCCGCTGAAAAAACTCCAGGCCTCTCAGATGGGGTCCGAGCACCTGGGGTCGCAGAATCGCGACACATCGCCAATACATTGACGATGCGGTTCGGTGTGGAGCCCGATTTTGTTCACGTCGACGTCGCCAATGCGTCGGCGATGAGGCGCGATCCTCCGACCCCTCGCAACCGCATTCTCCTGAACGCAATTGCATGAACCACAAGTCCAACACAAAATGCATATGATGGAGCACAATTCGTTTCGCAAGACCTCGCGTTGGTTGGCACGCGAATCTGAGCTGCGCGCAAGACGCCCAAGAATCCGCGACGCAGGAAGCCAAACAAAGCGCGGCACAACAAGACAAACAACATGTGGCACAAAAAAGACGAACACCATGTGACACGAAAAGACGCTCACCTGAAGAAAACAATCTGGGGCGGCCCCCGAGAAATCTCTACCCCGACGCTGCCAAGCTGCCGTTTTGTCACCGGCTGTCCAGGCGAGCGCCCTGGCACTCCAGTGGGACGCGACTCGGGAGAAATGTGACAGCCCCAAGATACTTCGATTCGTCGGTCGATGCATTCGCTACCGAAATTAAATATGGTTGTTTGCGATCTGTCCGTTACCACACTATCCCGGCCATGAGACCCCATCTCCTCGGAGCCGACTTGGGAGGCCTCTACACATGTTTTACTACATCTTCGGGCGACCGTGTCTGTGCCGTCGCGCCACGATCCGCGTCGAACCCATGTCGAATCTGGGTCGAAATCCGAGCACAAGCAAAGACTGCCATTTGCAGGACAGGCAAGGCCACCCGACGATGCAAAGTAAGAGAGGCGGGCCCCGTGGAGGAGCCTGGAACGTCCAATAGCTCCACGACCTGCCGCCAATCCCAAGGGTCCCCTGGCCGCTTCTCCACGCCGACGTCGCTGATGCATCGGCGATGCGGCGTTATCCTCCGACCTCATCTTGCTCAGACCCGCTCGGGAGGCCTCTAGAAATGGGCGGATCCGGAAGCGGAGCCTGGAACACTTCAATAGTGCGCTTTCCTGGCCGCCTTGCTCGGAGAATTGCCACTGTGCACCTCTTCACTGCATACGTGTCCCAATTGGATGCTTATCTTCCCAGACCCCCAACGTCGTGATTCTTAATGACGTGACCCCCAGGAGCGTGGACCCCTTCCTCGGGACCAGTTTTTCGTTATGAGTCGCTCTCTGACGGCCCCGAGGCCCGGCGAGGGCCCCCAGAGGCCAACCATAGCGAAAAGCCGCCCGCCGTGATTTGTGTTCACAGCGCGAGGAGGTCTGGATTCGCGCGCGCGTGCGGCGGGGCCTGGAACGTCCAGTTGCTCCACGAGCCGCCACCAGTGTCCGGGAGCCCCTCGCCGCTGGCGAGCGCCCCCCCAATCAGGCCGGGGCGCGGCGGCTCGGCGCAGCCAAGCGGGCCCGCGGGGACCACCTGCGGAGGAGGCAGGCTCGTCAGGAAGCCGGGGCGGCGTGAAGCAGCAGCAGATCGGCCCATCGGCTCGACTCTCCTCCAGCTCCTCGCTCCTCCTCCTCCTCCTCCTGCTCCTCCTCCTCCCCCCCCTTCTCCTCCTCCTCCTCCTCCTCCTCCTCCTCCTCCTCCTCCTCCTCCTCCGGCTCCTGCTCTTGATCCCGTTCCTGCACCTGCTCCTGCTCCTGCTCCTGCTCCTGCTCCTCCTCCTCCTCCTCCTCCTGCTCCTCGTCCTCCTGCTCCTGCTCCTCGTCCTCCTGCTCCTGCTCCTGTTCCTGCTCATGCTTCTCCTCCTCCATATCCTGCTCCTCATCCTCCAGCTCCTCCTCCTCCTCCTCCTCCTACTCCTCCTCCTCCACTTCCTCCTTCTCATCCTCCTCCCTCCTCCTCCTCCTCCTTTCCTCGCCTGTCCCACCACCCAGGATACGTCGGCGTCGGATCGGCAAATCTAGGGGACCGAGCAATGGCATCAACGTAAAACCTCGGAGGTCCGCGCGGACTTCTCGGATCGGCGCTGGAGCCCCCTGGCGGCGCCTCTGGCGCCGCCCCTGGCACGTTCCGCGCGCCAGGGAAGGGGGTCCAGCGCCGATCCAAGAAATCGGAGCGGACCTCCAAGTTTTTATCTCAATGTCATTGTTTGTTGCACAGAAATCCGCTCGAATCGAAATGTGGATCGGATCGGGTGGCATCGGCACGGAGTCGAAATCGAATCAGATCTGCTGCACAGAGGTGCACAACGACGACGTGCGAGCATCGGGGAGCATCAGATGGCCGGAAGTGGCAGTCGACTCGGCTCGAGCCGGGTGATCTCGACATCGAATCGGATCGATCCCGCCAGAATGGGCCGTGAGTCAAAATGCGGCACATTCGCGTGGTGACGACGTCGGAGTTAGTTTCTGCAGCCGCGTTGATCGCTCAGCCTCGCACGATCGGCGGCCTCTCGCTCGCCCGATCGTTCCGTATGGGCCGACTCGTGGCCACCGGCAGCGTTCCACCTCGAAGGCCCGCGCCAGGGTCGCCGCCGCGTCGGCACGGCACGAGCCTGCCGTACCAAGCCTTCTTGGGCGAACGGCCTGCGTGTATCCAAACTCCCGGCGTGGTTCCTCTGCTCCTGCCTCCACCCGTTCCCCGAGGGCAACGTGCGATGTTAGCACATTCGCCCCCTGGGCTTTCACAACGTCCAGGACGGCCCAAGAGGCCTCCAAGATCGGCCCAAGGCGGCCCAGGAAGCCCCCAAGAAAGCTCCAGGACGGCCCATGAGAGCCCCAAGACGGCCCAAGAGGCCCCCAAGACGGCTCCATGCAGGAGGGGGCCCAGGCGGGGAACCCGGACGGAAATTTCGAACCCTCGGCCCCAAGGAGGCTCTAGCAGGCCCCAAAACCTGCAGCGGATCCCGCCAGCAGGCTCGTTCTCAGGCCTTCTCGAAGGCCTCCCAGTCGCTCAGCTCCTTCACCACCCAGTGCTTACCCTCGACCCAAGAAGCCCCCAAGAGGCCCCAAGAGGCTCACCAGAGGCCCAAAGAGGCCCCAAGAGGCCCAACACGGCTCCCAAAAGGCTTCAAAAGTGCTGCCAGGAGGCCCCCGAGAGACCAACCGGGAGCCCCCCAAGGGGTCGGCGGTGCGGCGTAAGCCCAAGGAGTCTCCAAACTCCCAGCGTGCTTTTCCTGCTTCTGCCTCCATGGCATGGGGCTGGTCCGGGCAGATCAGAAGCGGGTACGGGGAGGAAAACTGCCCGTGGGGAAGTGGCCGAGAGCCCTCGGGTCCGCAGGTCGGAAGCATCAATACGACGGGGGGAGCCCGAAATTCATAGTGCCATATCGCTACGGCACCCTGGATGGAAAACGGCCCAGGACAGCTCCCAGAATCGGCCCTGGGCCAATCTCTGGGGGAGTGGACAACCATCGTTTCAGATCTTCGGACCTCGAAGGGTCTACCCCCGGATGGTGTGGGTCGGGATAGGCACGGGGATGGGGATAGTGATCGGTCGATACTGAGCGTCGAGAACTCCAATCGAAATGGTCGTTCCACGGCGTTTTGTGGCTCGCAGCGGGCGGCACCGGACTTTGAGGCCGGGGGGGCCGCAATAACGGGGCCAGGCGGACAGGGGGCCCTTCTGCGAGACCAGGAACCGCTGAATGAGGCAGCAGCAGGCCGGTTCTCGGAAGGAGGAAGGGAAAAGGAGGGAGAGATGGAGGAGGAGGAGGAGGAGAAGGAGGAGGACCAGAGTAAACTCAAGATGCACCAGCCGATGCTGTGATACGCCCTCCCTTCCAGTCCCCTCCTCACAAGCCCCTGCAAGTTGTCCTTTCCATTGCGTGCGACTCTCCTTACATTGCGAGCGGCTGGTCGATCGGCTGTTGTGGAGGATCCTCCCTCCACTTGACAAGCGCCCAAAATGCCCCCATGTTGATAGGAACCTGCCCTCCGCGCGTTTTAGACCTTAAGCGTTGCAAAATGCCAGAATCGTGGACGAATGCCCCACGGAAATTCCACGCGAGAGCTCCTCCCGTAGGCCAGGGGACTGCCTAATTTTGAGAGGAGCATGGCCTCCATCTGAAGAACAATTGCAAAATGTCAAACGTGTGGATGCAGGCTGCACGGAAGTTTCACGCGCAAGCCCCGTTCCGGAGAAAAAATGCCCTCCATGTGTGTTGGATGTTGCACGACACGGAAGGCCGGTTCGTCGAGGTGGAGGACGGACCACGTCAGTAGATGGTAGACGCTGCGTGCGGGTGCGCGCGGGACCGAAGGAGACCCCCGATACGGTCAGGGGAGCGCTTGTTGATGAAATGCGCCCAGGAGGTTGCAGATGATGGAAGGGCCCCTGACCTGATGAAGACAGTGGTGGTACCCATGCCCGTTCACGATTGGAAAGCCCCTGGCTCCCAGATCGTGAACGCCACATCCAAACGCTCTCCGTCCAACGCCCGCGCCGCTTGCAAAGGACGCGACAGCCACTCGCGCAGCTAAGGACAAATTGGAAACCGACAATGCACGGCTCCAGGGCGAGAGCACCTTTCTGACAACGGTCGGCCCTTTCTTTTTGTTTGATGGGACGCACAGGGACATACTAGTACGATATATCTTCCTTGGAGGCGCGCGTCCGACGCGAACATATAGCACACCCACCTTGTAGTATATCGTTTCCCGGTGTGGCCAGAAAGCGACCGCCACGACGCATACAAGATTTCTCGGTGTGCTCGTCGCCCTGGGGGGGGGGCACGCACATACAGCATAAGTATGCCGGGGTGACGCCGACGTGATTGTGTACAACGACGGTGTGCGGCGCCAGCAGAGCGAGAGCCCCAATGTGAAAACCGTTTGTGGTCCACGCGCCAACGCGATGTGAATTCATCGGTTCCTTGAAGCCTCCCGCGGCGACAGAGACGATGAAGATAAGGATGTGGATGCTATTGCTGCTGGTGGCGACGGCAAGCCTGGGGGCACTTGGGGAGGGTTTGTAGCGTTTGGGAGCGCCTGTGAAGCGTCTTGGAGCGTCTGGGAGTGGCTGGGGCAACCTCGGGAGCGCTGGGTCCCAAATCGGAGTCGGCGAGGGATGCCCGAAACACATCGATGAATTATATGTTTGCGGGATCTGCTCTGCTGTTTGTGCATAGGTGCTCTGCGGGGCCAGGGGGTGGGTCGACGTTGAAAATCAGCAGATGCGCGCTGAATACCACTGCTTAGAGTAGGATTGTGAGGGTTGGGTCGGATAGATGTGCACAGAATTGCTGTTGTTTGCATCGGACGGCGAGGGCTGGGTCGGAAGGATGTGCATCGTCTAGCATGGACTGCATAAGAATGCAAGGATTGGGTTCCAAGGATGTGCACCGGAATGTGCGCCGCAAGATATCAGTTTGATTGCATGGTGAGGGATGGGTCATATGATGCGAGCAGACTTGCATGTATGGCATAGGATAGTGAGGGATGGGTCGGATGGATGTGCACCGAAACGTGCTTGCTTAGGATGGTGAGGGTTGGGTCGTATTGATGTGCGCGGCAATGATGCGATAGCCTTATTCTGCAAATGATCTGACCTCCGTCCTGTAAGCTGTTGCAAGTGTTTACAAGGAATGTGTGCAGCAATGAGGCGAGAGACGTAGCTTGAACACGAACCGGCCTTCAGCCTCGAAGCTGTCGCAAGCTGCTGTTGAACGAATGTGCGCGGCGCTGATGCGAGAACCACACTTTGAATACTTCGGACGCCCGAAATGGGTACGGACAACATCGGTACAATGCCCAACAACAATTGTTGTCCCAAACCAACAGCGGCCGCTGTTGGGTAGGTGGCCTTCTGTCTCAAGAAGCCACAGGCCGCGGCGGCGCGGACAGCGAGTCCTGTTCAAAATGAGCAGGAACTGCTGTTGGGCATGCTATCCATTCTCTCCGTGACCCTGTCATTCGTGCCGAAATACGACGCCCCAGGCTCCATCCTTGAAACGATTGCAGTGTCAAGCTTGAGGACCACAATTGGCGAGGAAGTCCAAGGCGAGAGGACAGGCCCGGCCCACGGACACGCCTGGTGGTGCGAAGGGGGGGGGAGGGTATCTAGTAAGGAGAAGGAATGGCGAGGGAGGACGAGGAGGAGGAGGAGGAGGGACGAGGAGGAGGGGGGACGAGGAGGAGGAGGCGGAGGAGGAGGAGGAGGAGGAGCAGGAGTGGGAGAAGCTGCGGGGTGAAGGAGGAGAAGGACGACGATGCTGATCATGAGGAGGAGCAGCAGGAGGAGGAGAAGGGAGACGAGCTGGAGAAAGTGGCGGAGTTTGGGGAGCAACTGGTGGAGAAGGGAGCATCTGGAGGAGGGAAGGACAAGGAGGAGGAAAAGGAAGGCGGAGAATGAGGAGCAGGACGGAGTGGGAGGAGCAGGAGAAGAAGGTGCGATGAGGAGGAGGAAAAGTAGGGAGGAGGAGGAAGAGGGAGGAGAACAGATGAGAATAAAGAGGATAAGGAGGAGCTGGAGGCGCTGGAGGGGGTATAAGGAAATGGGGGCGAGATGGGAGAAGGGCGGATCGGAGGATCCTGGAAGCGCTGGGAGGAGAAAGAGGAGGAGGAGGAGGAGATGGAGAAGGTGGAGGAGACGGAGGAGGAAGCGGAGGAGAAAGAGGGAGGAGGAGGAGGAGGAGGAGGAGGAGGAGGAGGAGGAGGAGGAAGGGAGGGAGGGAGGCAGGAAGGGAGGGAGGGAAGAAGGGAGGGAGGGAAGGAGGGAGGGAGCCATCACTGGCCGATACATCTAGAATCTCCAGCTCGCGGGGGCACCGTGGACCTCCTCAAAGGCCGTCCACAACAACAACACAACTGAAGAAAACATGCCGAACAGACAGTGAAATCGAAACCGGCCGAAACCGACAGGCCGCAAGCAGCCAAATAGGGGGCAGCCAAGCAACAATGACAAAACGACCGAACGAACGAACTCGTCTGCAACACAACAGAACCGTCAGAACCGCTGACACCTTTGAGAAGGCATCGTGGACCTGCTCGCTGGTTGTGGCCATGCTGGTGTTGGTCTTGTTGTGCGTTCCCTCGACTTGGGGCTGCGCGGACATGTGCGCCAGGGAATAAAAGAAGAAAGAAACACAACAACAATAAACGTGCAACCCCGAAAAACAGATCACCTGGAGGAGCGGAGACAACCTCCCAGCATCCAGCTTACGCACCGACGACAGGCAAGCACGGTCATACTGTCGACAGTCGTGCTTACGGGAGGCCCCTATCGATAGATATATATATATACATATATATATATATATATACCGTAGCACCCCGCAATTGCGGATAAGAGTGAGGGGGCGGGCGCAGGCGACGCGGGCGTCGTCGAGCCGGCGGACCTCGTGGCCCCCACCTTCCCTGTCGATGGCGATCTTCTCCTCCTCCTCCTCCTCCTCCTCCTCCTCCTCCTCCTCCTCCTCCTCCTCCTCGTCCTCATCGTCATCGTCCTCCTCCTCCTCCCTCCTCCTCCTGTTCTTCCTCGTCCTCCCTCTCCCCCCCTCGTCCTTTCATCATCGTCCTCCCATCGTCGTCCTCCCCCTCATCGGCCTCCATCATCGTCCTCCCATTGTCGTCCATCATCATCATCATCCTCCCCCTCCTCCCCCTCCTCGTCCTCCTCCTTCCCCTCCTCCCCCTCCTCCCCCTCCTCGTCCTCCTGCTCCTCCTCCTTTTCTCTCTCCACATTATCCTTACATCCTCTCTTCTGCCGCGTTCTCCTCGTCCCCTGTTTACGCCTCCTGCCTCCCCCTCCTCTCCCGAGATAACTGCAACGCAGTCCTTTCTTCCACTTTATGCTTCCCGCCTTCACTGATCAAGGCAACTCGCCAGGGCAAAGTTGCTGGACGGGCTGGTGTGGATGCGCGGGGCTTGAAGAGGTCCTTGCGGGCTCAGACGGCATGCAAAAATCCGCCGCCGCGCTTGTGCGGCATTGGTTTGTTCAGTGAACGTGGTTTAGTTCGCGGGTGGGTCTCGGGCTCTCCACCTCCACCTGGAAGGAATGCAAAAGCAACCCGCCGCAGGCGCCAACAAAAATTGGTTTGTACACTGAACGTGGTTTGGGTCGCGGGTGGGCCGCGGGTTCTCCACCGGGAACGAATGCAAAAGATGCCCGCCGCAGGCGCCGAAAAATGTAGTTTGTACCCTGAACGTGGTCGCGGATGGGCCGCGGGCTCTCCACCTGAAACGAATGCAAAAGATGCCCGCCGCAGGCGCCGAAAAATGTGGTTTGTACCCTGAACGTGGTTTGGGTCGCGGGTTGGTCGCGAGTTGGTCACGGGGTGGGTCGCGGGCTCTCCACCTGGAAGGAATGCAAAAAAAGCCCGCCGCAGGCGCCGAAAATTGTGGTTTGTACCTTCAACGTGGTTTGGGTCGAAGGTGGGTCGCGGGTGGGTCGCGGGGTGGTCGCGGGTGGGTCGCGGGTGGGTCGCGGGTGGGTCGCGGGTGGGTCGCGGGTGGGTCGCGGGGTGGGTCGCGGGGTGGGTCGCGGGGTGGGTCGCGGGGTGGGTCGCGGGGGGTCGCGGGGTGGGTCGCGGGGTGGGTCGCGGGTGGGTCGCGGGTGGGTCGCGCGCGGGGTGGGTCGCGGGGTGGGTCGCGGGGCGCGGGGCGGGTTGCGGGTGGGACGACGACAACAAACAACAACAACAACAACAACAACAACAACAACAACAACAACAACAACAACAACAACAACAACGAGAATCCGCACCGCGGAATTCCACTTCAGCCACGCACCCAGGGACAGTGAATGACCGTTCGGCCCCCTCACTCTGATATATATATATATATATATATATATGTGTGTGTAGATATACACATAGACATAGAGACAGATTCCCCAATCAGAGCTTGCCTCTGTAGGGGTCCTAGCGGGTTCATATGGTTAGGTTAGGTTTTTCGCCGATTTTCGCTGCACGCCCGGGTGCCCGGGTGCCCAGGGGTGCCCGGGCCCTGGTGCCCTGGGGGTTCCAGGGGGTGCCCGGGTGCCACGGGTGCCCGGGTGCGCGGGTGCCCAGGCGTGCCCGGGGGTGCCCGGGGATGCCCTATAGCCCTATAGCCCTAAGCCCTATAGGGCTATAGCCCTATAGCCCTAAGCTCAATAGCCCGATAGCCCTATAGCCCTACAACTCTGTAGCCCTATAGCTCTATAGCCCTATAGCTCAATAGCCCTATAGCCCCCTAGCCCTATAGCCCTGATTGGGTTTTTTCTCCGGTATCATACACATGCATTTACATATGTCCATATACATATAATAATGCTCAAAGGGACACACGTTCCGGCAACATCACTACTTTGTTGAGGCCGCGGTGCCTTCAGCAGGTCCTGCATGGTGAGGCCGATGCCCGTGGTCTGCACCTGCATCGGTACGCCCGCAAGAGGAACGGGAGCCATGCCGTCAGCTCCAGATACATCCAATGCGCCAGAGACAACAAACGTGCCCGCATGTACAGCGAAGGGTCGCAGCGTCAGATTGTTGCACGGAGCGGGGCACCAGCATATATCAAACAATCCGGCTCTTGTGAAGCTTGTGTTTGGCCAGTGTGCAGCATCACCGAAATCATAAACAGTGGAGGTTGCGTCGGGATCTGCGGCCAGCGGTCCCAACAAAGCTGCAGTGTGCTGATTGTCGTCGCCAGTACACTTCTCGCCAGCTGCTGTCGAAGCCGCCACGACCCTGATACGATCTTCCTCCGAAAGCCTCCTTCCAGAAATGACAATCGAGAACTGCAAACCTGGATATGGAGGAGGTATGGCCTCAACGGACTCTGGACCTTTGACGATGTATGATCCTGCTGCAACTCTGAAGCTGAAGTCCTCGCTACATTCGTCGCCACTCTCGCCTGGACACCAACACACACTGAAATTGCCGCCACGCACCAGCGTGAGACCCGGCAGTATCACATAGGTGCCCCAGAAGCTGGTGACTGTGGTGGTAGACACCGTTGTAGTGCTGCTGTCCGTCGTGCTGCTCCCCGTGGTTGTGGACAAGGTTGTGCTGCTGCTTCGCGTTGTACTGCTGGTGCCAGTCGTTGTAGTTAACGTCGTGGTGCTAGCAGTGGCAGAGCTTGTCATCGTCGTGCTGGTTGGGGTGGTGAAACTGGTCCCCGTGATGCTCACCCCCGTGGTAGTGGTCGTCTGCGTGGTGATCGTCACCGTAGTAATCGTGCTGGTTGTCGTACCGCTGGAGCCAGTCGTGCTGCTGGAATATGTGCCGCTGGACTCAGTGCTACTCGAGAGCGTCGTGCTGGACGGTGTGGTGCTGCTGGAGTCGGTGCTGGTGCTTGATGTTATGGTGAAAGTGTCGGATGTGCTGGTCTGAGAAGTGGTGCTGGTTCCCGACGCAGTGCTGCGTGTTGTGCTGCTGGTCTGCGTGCTGCTTGTCGCTGATGATGTGCTGGTCCCTGAGATGGTGGTGGCCGTTGTGCTGCTGGTCGCTGTCGTAGTACTTGCGCTGGTGCTACTGGTTTCCGTGGTGCTGCTTGCGGATGTGCTGCTGGTGCCAGAGGTGGTCGTCACTGTGGAACTACTTGTTCTGCTCGAGCTGGTCAGAGTGGTGCTGGTTCCAGTCGTGCTGGTCAGAGTCGTGCTGGTCCCAGTCGTGCTGGTCAGAGTGGTGCTTGTCCCAGTTGTGCTGCTCGTGCTGGTGAGGGTTTTGGTGGAACTGGTCAGGGTCTCCGTGTATGTGGCGTTGGGGTCAACCTGTGGGAATCGCAGGAGGTCGGTGTGGTTCGCAGAGCCCTCCGCCCCACACGGGATGGACGCAGAAATTATGCGGATGGAGTCGTTGTCCTGGAGTCCAGAGCCCCACACCTCCAGATCGAAGGCCTCGCCCGCAACCAGGACGTTCGGGACATGGCCTGTGGAATACCAGATGTTCCCACCCCCACGGCAGGAGAGGGACGGGCGGAGGACGGAAGGGAACGAACGAACGAACGACTCTACAGAGGCGTGTCCGCTGATCCTGCAGTGGCGCGGGGAACCGAGACGACAACTTGAACTGCCTCGCTGCTGACTCGCTTCTAGAGGGCGCTGTGACGAGGGAATTCTCAACACGCGTGGCGCGGGAGGAGCAGGGTCAAGTCGGGCGTGTCCCACTACAGGGGGATGTTCGACGACAAAAACAAAAATACTAAAACATTACTTCAAAATGATCAACAATACTTACAAATAGTCCCCAGACTATTGTTTACTATTTTTGAATTTTCCCACTGTAGAGGGGCAGGCCTGACTTTAAGAGCAGGGGAAGGTGCTGAGAGGGGTGCGATGGCGCAAGGCATGGCCTGGGGAACAGACGTCCTGGGACACCAGGGGGCGGTGGATATGGATGCATCTGTCAGGGATGGACAGAACCCCCTTGGGTAAAACGTGGTTTAGTGATAACGACCTCGGGCCCAAACCTGGCGGGCGCAAGCCTAGAAAATGACGGCCGCGGCGCCCTCTCGAGAACCGAAAACGAACAATTCACTAATCCACGTCTCAGGGTAGGCCTGTCCGCCCCCGAATCTGGGCCCCGGGGAGGCCCGAACATGTCCGTGTCCAGGAAGATCTGTCCCCCCAGGCGGTGGGTTTGGATTGAGTCCCAGTCTCGGAGACGAGTCGGGGAGACGTAAGACTGGAAGTTGGGGAACTCGGACTTGCCCGACGCGGCGGTCCCGCAAGATGGCGAGAACCATGGTGAAATTCGACGCGAACTCCCGATGTAAGAATCTCACGAGCACACCGGACCGTCAAATCTCACGCCAGGACCGTCCAGAATCGGCGGCCAGCCGGAAATCCCATCAAACTCGAGCCTTACGTTTCTCCAAATGGAGCATGGGGAAAGCGAAAAGGTACCAATACCGCTACTCCCTGGACCTCTCCCGGGGTGCGTTCTGACCAGAAATTCGAAGTGAATCGGGTGGTGGCGAGGAGGGCCTCCCAGGAGGCCCAAAAGGGGAAAACGATGGAAGGGTAGCGGTATGGGTACCTCTGCCTCCTCTGAAGGCAGGTGTGCACTTCTCACTGCCCAGCCTATCTCCCCCGGGCCGCTCACCACGAGCTCCCCGACGAGCACCGCGTCCTCCACAGCAGCCTCGGCAAGGCGCCAGCACAGGGCGTAGTGGCCGACCGTGGCGCCCTCGGGGAAGGCCCCGAAGTCGTACACGCCACCGCTGCGGCCCTCCGACGTCGCCACCGCGGCCCCGCCGCAGTCCGACCTCGGGGATCTGCTGACCCGGCTCCGCCCAGACCCAGGCCGGTCGGGCCTCGCAAGCTCCTGCAAGATCCTGCACCCCAAACCGGGGCCACTGCGACCCTGGCCAGCTGCAGGATCTCGCAAGATCCGGCGCTCTGGCTGGCCCCCGTCTGCACGCGGACCCCCACCTCTGGAGCCCCGACGACCCGAAGTGGGCCGCGAGCCGGGCGTCGGCCACGTCCCAGCCCGCCACGTGCTGGCTGAGCGCCACCGAGCACACGCGCTGGCTCTCGCAAGCGAAGCTCTGCCACGGGTTCGCGGGGCCCGCGAGCTCCAGCCGCCCGACGGGCACCGGCTCAGCGTCGCCCTCCGGAGCCGTCCTGGGGGGACGCGGAAGGCACCGACGCCGCTGCTCCCTGCAGGACCTCTGCCGGAGGGCGCGTTCCGACCAGAACCCGTGGGCGAAGCGCCTGTCCGCATCCTCGGCCTCACGGGCCCCGCCCCCGGGCAGCGCCCACGGGGATGCGCGGCTTTGCCCCGGAGGCCCCGCGCGGCACGTGGGCGCGCGGCACGCGTGTCCGCAGGACCGCGCCCCCGGGATTCGGACCGCGAGGGCAGGCGTGTGGACACGCTCGCCGCTCGTGAAGAGCCCCTATAGGAGAGCACGGAGGCGCCACGACGAGACGAGGGCTCTCCGGGACGAGCAGCTGTGTCCGCCTCTTTCCCTCGAGCAGGGACCGACCGCCCCGGCACTCCTGTAGGCCTGCCACGCCATGCTTCTAGAACACAATTGGTTCGAAGATCACAAACAATGTTCTTAGAACATGAGCCCGATGTGTTAAAACAAGACAGTCTCAGCCAGAACTGCTCTGAGAACATCTCGTGGAGACGACAACCAGGTTCTTCGAACATCCCTTGGTGGGCCTATCGGCGAGCCAGGACGCTTCGCCACTGCTCGAGTCTCCGCCGCTTTCCCCCTCTGACGTCCAGCACACGGTGTAGGCTTCCTCGCCCACCGCCCCGGCGCGCGGCGTCCCCAGGTGGTAGGCCTGCGAGGCGTCCACGGCCGCGCTCACGGCGGGCAGCACGAAGCCCTCCGGCGCCGCCGTCTGGCCGCAGGACTGGTCCGGCGACAGCCGCAGGAGGCCAGAGCCTGGAAGGAAGAGATCTGCACTGGCACGTGTGACGACCCACCAGACCACCACAACCCAACCCGAAGACGCGAATTTCGGGTCGGAATGGGCACGGGTTCCATACGTGAGGGCAAGTTGAGGCCTTCGGGTTGGGTTGGGGTGGTTTGGTGGGTGGCGAACTTGGAAGCCCACCACGGGTGCGAAAAAATTGCACGATGCCAAACGACCCATGTTGTCAAAAAACGGCAACTGTCTAGGTTGCCCAGGGGGCCTTCTGTGTCAAATGGACAGCGTCCGCGGCGACACCGATAGCGAGAACTGCTAACAACTGAGCAGGAACTGCTGTCGATTTTTGTCCCACTCTTTCCGTACCAATGTTGTTCGGGCCGGATCAGTTTTCGGAGCTCCGCGCGGAAACTGCAAGAACAGAAACTTTCCGTTCGTGTTCGCCTGATTGGCATCCTGGGAGGCCCTTGTCGCCACCGCTGCATTCGCCTCGACACTCTTGTCCGAACGCATCCCTGGAGAGGTCCGGGGACACAGACAAGAATCTCGAAACCGGACAGGCGCTGACCCCTCCTTAGCGCGCAGAGCGCGCGCGGGGGCGGCGCCGGAGGAGGCGCCATGGGGTCCAGCACCGGTACAAGAGATCTGCCAGAAACTCCGAATGTTTTTGTTCCAATGTCGGTCGGAAGGAGTAGGTAGAAACATGAATAATGAAGGCATTGGAAGTAGGTCGGTCGGGCTTCCGCTCGCCCGCCTGAAGAGGAAAGAAAAGGTGGAACCACTCGATCATTGCAGTAGGAAGGCACCTACAAAAGATTGGGATCCTGAAATCAAACGTTTACCTACTTTCAACGACCGACGGGTACGCAGTTCTTTCATTTGGGCTGCGAGCGAAGGGAGGGAAATGAAAAGCAGAAGGCCTTCTCAGAAGGAGGCGCCACCTCTCCGAGGCCCCCGCAGCTTCTACGACGCTCTCTGTGTCTTCGGTGAAGGCTCAGAGAACTTCTCAGAAGGTCGGGGGACTTCCGAGCCTCCTGAGGAGGCCCGCACCTTCGCTCAAGTCGGGCATGTCCTACAGGCGGATTTTGGACGAACAATCAAAAATACACCAGACATGGTCAAACGCAGTCACACATTGTCAACAAAAACGTCCCCAGATGATATTTTTACACTATGTTTGGATAGTCCTCCTGTAGAGGGACGCGCCCGCCTTAACCCCTCGCACCTCCCCTCCTCGCTCGCAATGCGGGCAATACTCATATCCATATCCAGAGCGTCGTGGACTTTTTGGGAAGAGGTGCCGCAACGCCGAGGCGCACTGAATATGGATAAAATCAAGCCTCGTGGGGCCAGATTTTATCCATATCCAGTGCGTCTACGGTTTCTGGGGAAGAGAGCCCAAGAATCCAAGACGCACTGGATGTGGATAGAACTATTGCCCGCACGCAGCACCGACTCCTCCCGGGAGCCGTTCAGGGCGTCCAGGCCCTCCCCCTCCAGCAGCAGCCCGCAGGGCAGGCTCAGCGCGCAGCGGAAGGCCGCGGTGGCGGGCCCGAGCAGCCGCAGCGACCCGAGCGGGGTGCGGTGGTCGTCCAGCACGAGGCCGCGGCCCCAGCACACGGTGTGCTCTCTGGTGGCCAGCGGCGGCGTGCGCCCGATGTCGACGCTCGCGCCCGTGGCGTCCCCCGTCGCGGAGGCGGCTGGGAAGGTCTGGGCCAGGGCGGCGTGCCGCAGGAGGGCCGTCCTCTTCACGAGCGGCGGCCACGCCCGCATCCGCGCCCCCTCGCGGGCCGGATTCCAGGGGGGCACGATCCCGCGGACACGCGATTGCACGGCCACGCGCCGTGCGGGGAAAAGCGGCGAGAAGGCGCCCCGTATCCGCGGGGTCGCGGCCCTGGGGCCCCGCCCGCGAGGCGGTGGATACAGATATGCTTTCCTCCCACGTGTCCTCTCGCCCATCTCCCACTCGGGCAGCAGCTGGGACAGGTCCTTCGTGGGAGCACCAGCTGAGACGGCGGCGGCTCTGCTGATGCTGATGCTGATGCTGATGCTGATGCTGATGCTGATGCTGATGCTGATGCTGATGCTGATGCTGATGCTGCTGCTGCTGCTGATGATGATGATGATGATGATGATGATGATGGTGATGATGATGATGATGGTGTTGATGAATGAATGCATGAATGAATGAATGAATGGATGGATGGATGGATGGATGGATGAATGAATGATGATGGTGATGATGAGGTGATGGTGATGATGATGAAGATGATGATGAAGATGATGATGATGATGATGATGATGATGATGATGATGATGACGATGGTAGTGATGATGATGACGATGATGATGATGGTGATGATGATTACGATGACGATGATGATGACGATGACGACGAACATGAAGATGATGACAATGCTGATGATGATGGCGATGGCGATGGTGATGCTGATGAAAATGAAGATGGTGCTGGCGATGGTGATGGTGATGGTGATAATGATGATGATGATGATGAACATGATGATTACGATAGGGATGGTGATGATGCTGCTGATGACGGTGGTGATGATGACGATGATGGTGATGATGATGGTTGTGATGATGATGACAATAGTGATGGTGATGGTGATGGTGATTGTAGTGATGATGATGGTGATGGTGATGGTGATGCTGCTGATGATGACGATTATGAGTATTATGACGATTATGCTTTTGTTTATGATGACAATAAAGAGGAGGATGGTGATGACGACGATACCGATGACCGTCATCAGAATCATCATCATCATCATCATCATCATCATCATCATCATCATCATCATCATCATCATCATCATCATCATCATCATCATCATCATCTTCTGGTTCATCATCATCATCATCATCATCATCATCATCATCATCATCATCGTCATCGCATCGTCATCGTCATCGTCATCGCCATCATCGTCATCGGCATCTGCTTCGTCATCGCCATCATCGTCATCGCCATCACCGTCATCGTCATCGCCATCGTCATCATCGTCATCGTCATCGCCATCGCCCAAATCCGCTCAAAACCTGGCCCGGGACCCCTCCGGGGAGACCACCCCCGGCGATCGCTCTCTGGGGCAGATGTGCAGCCGCGGCGACGGCCTCACGAGGAGACCCCCAAAAAAGTGAGGAAAGTGCGCCAGCCTGCCTCCGTCGAGGGACGAAGGGGGTGGAGGGGGGCAGCTCAGGGTGGGAACGCATCGATCTTCTTGCCGTCGCTCGGACGTCCACTCCCCGTGCATATTTCGGTTTCGTTCGTGTATTTTTTCGCAAGGTGACCCAACATGCTCCTCGATGGTCCTTGCCGACTCAAAAAGCACGCGTCCGAGCGATACCAAGTCTTGAATCGATGGTACATCGCCGATAGATCTGCGATAGGTCCCTGGTAGCGAATCCGCATTTTCCTGTGCTTGGTGGGGCTATCAGGCCCCTATCGGCAATGAATGGGCGATCGGGAAGCGATGACACCCCGTGAGCCTCTTCCCCCCCTGACATTGCTTCGGGGTTTCCGGGTCATAGCTCGGCACTCCAGCGGCCGTTAGGGACGATCTGGGCACCCTCGCGACATCCTCGGCGAGGCGCAGCTGCTGGAACGCACCCCGAGGCTGGGAGGCAGCCGAGAACCGACGAAACCACCCAAAAATTCTCAAGCCTTCGATTCCGAGAAGGTCGTCCCCCCTGCGCCTATCCTCTCCTAACGTTGCCCCTTGTCCTGCACCTGTGACGCCCCGGCCGTGCCCCCGATGGGCGCGGGCAGCACCACGAAGCCGCGCCCAGCACTCACAACCCCGCGGATACATGGCGGCAGCACCCCCGCGGCCGCGGCGTGGTAGCGGTAGAACGGCAGGACGGAGTCCTACAACACGACGAAATTGTTGGTATATTTACTCTCGACCTCTGGGGGCACTCGCTGGGCGCCGGGACTGTCAGAAGACGACTCGGGGTGAAAAGCTGGTCCCGAGGTATGGGTCGAGACCTCTTGCGGTTGTGGGGTCGACGTTGTGACAACAAATGACGTCGGGGGGGTCTGGAAATGGCAAAAACAGTAACAAGAACCATCGCGCGCTTCGCGCGTGCTCAAGTTCTACTTGACATGGGACCAAGCGTATAGCGCGTCAGAGGGACCGAGTCCGGATGACCGGATCCTTTGCTTGGAAGCGCACGCCTTGGTGTAATCTTGGAGCCACACGTTCGCAACACATGGGAGCTCCAAAAAAGAGCGGACAACACGTTGAGGATCCATTTGGTTTTGACCGATTTGACCCTCTTGCATATCCCGTGGGCACTCTGGCGGCTGCTTGGGGCCTCAGAGTGCCGATGGGGACTTCCTGGGGCAGCCTGTGGGGGGCCTCCTGGGGGGCCTCCTGGGACCGTCGTGGGGCCTCTTTCGGGAGCGGCCAAGAGGGGGGTGTCCAAGAGGGGGGGGGGTGCAAATCATGACCGGCGGCATGTGCGCGGCCCAGCGGGGGGGCCAGGGACGTAATGAAATGAGAAGAGGCGCCATGAAATCTGGGGAAACATCATGGCCCGCGTCATGACATCCACCCCCCCCTAGTCATCACCCCCCTCTTTGCCGCCCCCGACTCCTGGAACTCCTGCACCGCTCCGGGAGCCTCCCGCCGGGGAAGCCCCGGGGAGGCTCCGAAAGCCCCCGGAGGGGGAGGCACCACTCGGGGGGGTGCCCCGTGCCTGCTGCGGGCCGGGGCCCCACGGGGGTCGAGCTGCCGGTGCATGGGCGGAAGAGGGTGGCACCGGGAGGCAAGACAGGAGGAGGGAGGTGGCAGGAGGAGCAGAGCGGGGGAAGGCGGGGAAGGGCGGAAAGCCCAACAGGGGAGGGAGAGGAGGCGGGCACAGAAGGGAGGACGGAGGAGGCGGTCCGAGGCAGGACAGCGGGGCGCAGGGCGGAGAGGGCAAAGGGGCGGGGAGGGGCAGGGCGGAGGGAGGGAGGGGCAGGCTGGGGGGCCTCCGGGGCGGGGAGGGGGGGCGGAGGGGCGGCGGGGGGGCGGGCGTGCGAGGCAGAGGGCGGGAGGCAAGGGGGAGGCAGGAGGGCAGGAGAGGGGAGGCAGCGGCGGAAGGTGCACACAAGGAGTGGGCGTGGGCGGGACGGGGTCGGGTGAGGAAGAGGGCGGAGACGGGATGGGCAGGGAGGGGGAGGGCGCAGGAAAGAGGGAGAGAGAGAGAGGATGCAAAGTGAGGGAGAGAATGGTGCTGAGGGGTGGGAGGCGTAGGGACGCGGGAAAAAAGAGGAGGATGGGAGGATGGAGGAGGAGGAGGAGGAGGAGGAGGAGGAAGAGGAGGGGGAGGGGAAAGAGAATGAGTGTGGGGGAGAGTGTTTGTATACCTTCTGGAATGGAGGTGTCTTCGAATTGAGGCGTGCAAGGAGCATCTTGTAGTCTCTACGGGGGCCGCTCGGGTGACTCGTCAGGGCCACTTGGGCGTCTATTGGGGGCCTCTTGGGAACTTCGTGGAAGCTTCTTGGGGGACTCGTGGAGCCTCATGGGGACCGCCAGGGTGCTCCAGGGTTACTTTAGCGCCGAAGGCGATCGGAGGGCCGCTCGGGGTGCGCTTGGGGGGCCTCTTTTGAGTGTCTTGCGGTCCGCTTGAAGCGCTTTTGGGCCGTCTTGGGCGCTTCTTGGGCGCATCTTGGGCCGTGTTGAGGCCATCCTGGGTTTCTCGGAGCCCCCTTGGGGGCCTCGTCGGCAGCCTTGATCCGTTCTTGGGATCTCGTGGCCGGCCGCCCGGGACGCTGATCGGAAAAACAAGCATGGATCATGGATTTGCCAAACATATGCGGTTTCCCAAAAAGGGAATGGGGCGATGTTTGCCGCTCGGGGCCCTCGAGGATTTTCTCTTGGAGCCATCTCCATGTGTTTTTTTTTTGCCTCTTGAGCCGTCTTGGGGCCATCTTGGGCCGTCCTGGAGGAGTCTGGAAGCCATCTGGGACGTTCGGAACTTTTACTGTGGGTCCCGCGTTTTAGGGGCAGGCTCCGGGGAGGCTCTGGTTGAGGGGACGCCCCGGAGAGGCTCTGGGAGGGGAAGGGGCACTGAGTGTACCCTGTGTGCCCCTGGAAGTCTCTGGCCCAGGGCCTAACAGGGCCGGTCAACGAGGGATGAGTACAGAGACAGGAAGGAGGAGCACGAAGAGCAGGAGGACAGCACGAAGAGCACGAGAGCACGATGGGCCACAGTGCCCCTGGGCCAAGTGTGCACTGCCTAGTGGCCTTCTGCCCATCCTGCCACCTTGCCTGGGTTATTGGTAAGAGACCTCTTGAATGCATGCTCGGGTCTCTCGGGATGCATCTGGGCAACATCTTAGAGGCAGTTTTGAAGCCTCTTGGAGCGCATTTCGAGACCTCCTTTGGGCCTCTTTCGTCCTCTTGGGGAGTCCTTTGGGGCTGTTGGCGCTCTCTGGGGTTCTCTTCGGGCAGAAGCCTTCAAATGCGGGTTCAAACTCCCCCCTGGGGGCCCTCTTGGGGCCCTCTTTGGGACGTTTTGGGCAGTCCCGGGTGCTTCTTGGGACGTCTTGGGTCCTCGTGGGGACATCTTAGGCCGTCTCGGGGCTCTCTTGAGGGCCTCGTGCGCCCTCTAGGTCACAGCGGTATATATATAGAAACTTATATATGTGTGTATATATAGATATGTGTATGTGTATGTATGTGTGTAGATGTGTGCATGTATAGTTGTGTATATATAGAGACACATTTACATATAACCATACATATATAAATATATATGCACACTCATGTGAAACGTACATGTGCATATGTATATGAACATATCTTGATGTACGTAAACGAATGGATGCGCACGTAACAACTATACTACACATATGAATCGTAGTCAGAAGTGTGCCAAGATCGGAAAACGCTCATAACAACAAACAGTATAGTAGCAATACCAATAATTAAACAGTATAACAATGACAACAATGATAATGGTAAGCATCATCATCAGCAGCAGCATCCTTATCATCAGCATCATCATCATCATCGTCATCACCATCAGCAGCAGCATTATACTCAGCATCAGCAGCATCAGTAGCAGCATCATCATCATCACCATCATCACCATCATAATCATAATCATATCGTGACAGTAATAATCAAAAGAGCGAATGTGCTAGAAATATGCAAATTCCAACATAAGAATGGTGCGGTTGTCGCCTTGGGACGTCTTGGGGGCCTGAGGGGCCGTGTTGACGCCGTCCTGGTGCCGTCCGGAAGCCATCTTGGCCCGTCTGTGACCTATTTGGCAGGAAGCTCCAGGGGGGCCAGGGAAACTCCGGGGGGGCTCTGGGGAGGCCCCGGGGGTGGGGGAAGGGGAACTCAGTGTTATTTAAATGCCCCTGGTGTTAGGTCTGGCGTGTCCTCCTGCAGGGGGATCTGGACGACAAAAGAATCAACAACTGGTCAAAAATATTTAAAAATGAGTCCCCTGACAATTTTGAACATTCCTCCTGTAGAGGGACACACCAGACTAAGCCATGGTAGTCTTCGGCTCGGGGGCACCCGGGGCCAGGCCTCCAGTATATGAAAGACTTTCGGAGCTCCGCGTGGACTTCTTGCCTCGTAGCTGTGAACCCCCTGGTGGCGCCTCCCTGGAGCGCTCCGCGCGCCAGGAAGGGGGGCTCGGCGCAGATCCAAGAAATCCGCGCAGACCTCCGAGAGTGTACGTTTATGCAATGTTTGTTGTTCCTCGAAGTCCGCCGCGTAGCCGCCGCAGGCGTCGGCGGTGAAGTTGCGGCTCGTGGAGTTATCGCCCTCCAGGGGCCCGAAAAGTGGCACGCCGTCCATCATGAAGCCGAGGAGCGGGGGTTGGCCATCGCCGGTGAGGTTGAAGCTCTCCAAGTCCAGCGACGCCGCCCATCCCGCGACGTGAGGGCAGGCACCGGCGTCCGGGGCTCCCGAATAAAATGCTTCGCCCTCGTCGTTGATAGCTATGTTGCATGCGCGGCCTGTGCCATTGGAAGCGTTGCTGTGCACGGAGTCGTCTGCAGGTGCGCTGCCGGCCCACATGGCTATCCCGTCGAGCGCAACACCCACAGGACCGTGGTCGGGCAGCGTGTAGGCACTGAGCTCTGGAAGCAGTCGGATCGACGTCGGCACCGCGTACGTGGCCAACTTGGCCAGAGCGCCCGAGGCAACCCCTGCGAGCCCCGCGCATGTTGTCGAGACGATGAGGCGCTCGTAGCTCACAATGCTCGCCGACACGTACGCGTCGGACCCGTCGGCCGCGCACTCTGCGGCGGGGCCGAACGGTGGAGCCAGCGCCCAGAGGCAGTCGGCCCCGCTGTGGAGAACGAGGGAGTCGAGGGCGGACAGTCCCAGCCCCGAGAGCGACACGGTGCACAGCGCGCCCAGCACGCACGAGATGCTGCCGAGGAGCTCGGGCCCGTGGAGCACGAGGCTGCCCACCTTGACCAGGTGCTGCTCGGCCGCGGGCGGGGGCGCTGCGCCCTGAAAGCGCCCCTCCTCGGCGGAGAGGCCCCAGCAGACCTGGAGGTGCCCTGGGACACACAAAGAAATACCCACAAATAACAGGATTCCCAATATTTTCATATATTCTCTCGGTTTTTGTCTTCCCCCCCACTTCCCATATTTTCCTGGGAATCGACGATTAATTGTGTCTGTGTGTCTTTTCCCCTCCTGAAGACCGTCAGCTGCCCGGGGCTGGTGGAGTGGGTGCCCAGGGTGAGGGTCAGGTCCAGCGCCCTCTCCACGCCCTTCCTGGGACGGAACCAGGACGAGGATAAACTCGGGCGAGGAGAAGTCGAGTCTCTCGGAGATCAGGCGGCTCTGGAGGATGTCTCGGGCGCCACGGCCCTCTCAGAGCGTTCCGCGGAACGCTCTGAGAGCGTTCTGGAATGCTCTGGAGCGGACTTCTCCTTGTCCTACAGTGGGGGCCCCACCACAAGAAGAAACCTTCCACCAGAAAAACCCAACCCTGAGACCCCAGGACGCCCACTGGACTCTTGGTGTGGGAGCGTCAGGTCATGCATTCCATGGCAGAACCACATCGAAACCCACGAAACACCAGGCACCCCAGAGGCCAGCAGGGTGCGTTCTTGTTGGGCCCATGTTCCACCACCACCACCATGGTAGGAGAGGGAAGAGGAGGAGGAGGAGGAGGAGGAGGAGGAGGAGGAGGAGGAGGACCTCCTCATCCTCCCTTCCCCCGTCCCTACACATGGCAGCGGTGGTGGAAAAGCTGCCCACCACTCTTGGCATGGACCCCGCCCGACGTCCTGCGGCAGCAGGTGGCCGGGTTGGTCATGCCGGGCAGGGCCGCGGGCACGGCCTCCTCGTCGCAGCTCGCCTGCCCCTCGACCAGCAAGACGCTGCTCCTGTGCGGCCACGGCGTGGTGTCCAGGGGGAGCACAGACCTCGGCGGCGCGCACAGGGGGGCGGGGGAAGGAGGGAGGGCTCCTCGGGAAGGAGGCTGCTTCTCAGAAGGCGCCGGCTTTCACATCTACAGATGGGGCCCGCGCCTTCCAAGAAGAAGCAGGGGTGCTTCTAAGAGGCCCTCCCCCCGGCCCCCATACCCCTCTGCGCGTGGCTGAGGACCACAGCCCCATCGGCGCGCGCACGAAGTGGTCGGAGCGCAGGCGGTAGGCCTCCAGGGCCAGCATCATCGACGGGCAGGCGCTGTCGCTGGTGGAGGTGATCCAGCCCTGAGTCGTGGAGTTCGCGCTCACCAGCATCCACCGCGCGGACGTGGAGCCGTCGAAGGGCTTCAGCACCGGGGAGCAGCCGGCCCCGTCCAGGTAGAGCATCTGGCCAGGGCACGCCGAGAGCGACCCGGACACGATCCAGAAGGTGTCCAGCTGGGTGTCTGCGTCCATGTCGTTGCTCGGCACGAGGGACCAGGTGTACATGGGGTCGAGGCTGTCTGGCGCCCACTTCAGCGAGCAGCCGCCCAGGAACCGCCAGCGTGCCTCTGGGCACGGAGCGGGCGTGTCCTCAGGTCCTCTGCCTCATCCTCGAGGCCTCGATCCCCTCTTCTACGGAATCTCTCAGGAGGCCCAGAGCCAAATTCTCAATCCCACTGGGGCGTGCCGCGCCTTCTCGCGTCTTGTTACATGACTTTGTTGGACCCGAGGTGGCTCGAAGACGGAAAGAGGACCCCGAGTCGCCAAAAGATCGCCCCAAGATGTCCAAGATGGCTCCAAGACGGCCCAAGAGGCCTCCAAGACGTCCCAAGAGGCCTCCTACAAGGACCAAACAACGTTGATGGCCCCGAGGTTTTTGACGGATTTCGGCGATCTCGCCTTTTCGGCTTCCCGACTCTCCAAGACGGCCCAAGGCACCCAATATAGCCCCAAGGCGGCCCCAGAGGCCCCCAAGAGTGCCCCAAGACGGCCCCAGAGGCCCCAAGACGGCCCAGGAGGACCCAAAGACACCTCTAAGAGGGGGCCCAGAGAGGGGAACCAGAACAAACATTTCGAGCCCTCGGCGCCGAGGGGCCTCCAGGAGACCCCGAGCGGCCCCCAGGAGACCCCGAGAGCCCAAAGAGGCCCCGAGAGCCTCCCAAGAGGCCCCAAGAGGCCCCAAGGAGGCCCCAAAACTGCTCCCAAGAGGCTCCCCAGAGCGCTCCGAAGAGACCCCAAAAGGCATCCCGAGAACCCTGACCCTCAACATAGGCACGATGGCGGGATGGGCCGCAGGACCTTGGATGAAGAGCGAGCTACGGGCCGCGTGCTGCTCTGGGCCGGCGACCAGCCAGTAGTCCGTGGTGTCTGGCGCGCGGCCGACCAGTGGCAAAACGCACGGCCAGCCCGAGTCGCAGACGAACTCCTGGCTGTCGGCAGGGCCGGCCAGGATGAAGGCACCGGCCGGGACGCTCTGCACGTCAACCGCCGCGGGGGACGACGCGTTGCCCTCCTCGGACGCGTTGCTCTCGTCGGACGCGTTGCCGTCTGCTGCCGCATCCCGCCAGCAGAGCTCGTACGTCTGCAGCGGGTCGCCCGTGAGAGCCACGCCAAGGTAGTATGAGAAAGGGTCTTCTGCCAGCGGTGCTGCGAAGCTGTCGATGCCCGCAAAGCCCTGTATGAAACTTCCAGCGTCGCTGGAGTTCCCCACCCCGCTGGAGTTCCCTGTTTGAGCAGGGACCGACCGTCCCGGCATTCCTCTAGGCCTACCACGAAATGATCTTATAACCCATTCTTAGAACCCAACAATGCTATCGGAACAAAAACAATGTTTTCAGAACGTGAACCCGATGTGTTAATACAAGACAGTCCCAGCAAGAAATGTCCTAAGCACATTTCGTGCAGACCACGAAGGGTTTTTAGAACATTCTTTGGTAGGCCCTTCGACGAGCTAGGACGCTTCGCCACTGCTTGACCTGTGGAGCCGTTCGCGAGGCTGGAGTTCGCGGCGCACTGGCCCGCTGGGTCCAGGAGCAGCCTGTTCGACTCCCGCAGGCCGAAGCCGGACAGCGAGACGGTGCACGCCGAGCCCTTCGTGCAAGAGTGCACGGTGCGCCGAGGCCCGCGCATCCTGAAAGTCCCGATAACCACGCCGGCATTTCCAGAGCCGCTGGTGCTCGTCGTGCTGGTCATCGTGGTGCTGCTGGTCGCAGTCGTGGTGCTGTGCGAGGTGCTGCTGGTGTCGGTCGTGGTGGTCAGAGTGCTGCTGCTGGTTGCGGTTGTGCTGCTGAGCGTGCTGCTGCTGCTTTGAGACGTCGAGGTCGGAGTAACGCTGCTGGTTGCGCTGCTAGTCCCAGTTGTGGTGGTCACAGTGGTGCTGCTAGTTGCGCTGCTGGTCCCTGTCGCGCTGGTCAGACTTGTGCTGCTGGTTCCGCTGGTGCTGCTGCGAGTGGTACTGCTTGTTCCTGTCGTGCTGGTCGGCGTAGTGCTGCTGGTTGCGCTGGTGCTACTGTGCGTTGTGCTGCTGCTTCCTGTCGTGGAGGTCGCGGTGATGCTGCTGGAGGTGCTGGTGCTGCTGCGCGTGGTACTGCTGCTTTCAGTCGGGGTGGTCAGAGTGGAGCTGCTGGTTGCACTAATGGTCCCCGTCGTGTTAGTTAGCGTGATGCTGCTGGTTGCACTGGTGCTGCTGCGAGTTGTACTGCTGGTTCCCGTCGAGCTGGTCGCAGTGCTGCTGCTGGTTGCGCTGGTGCTGCTGCTCTCAGTCTTGCTTGTCAGAGTTGTGCGCGTCGTGGTGGTCTGAGTGATGCTGCTGGTTCCACTGGTGCTGCTACGCGTGGTAGTGCTGGTCCAAGTCTTGGTGGTGACAGTAGTGCTACTGGTTGCACTGGTACTGCTGTACGTGGTGCTGCTGGTTCCTGTCGCGCTGGTCGGGACCGTATGGCTCGAGCCGGTAAGAGTTGTACTGCTAGTTGCGCTGATGCTCCAGCCAGCGGTACTGCTGGTCCCCGTCGTGCTGGTTACTGTGCTGATGCTGCTTGTGCCGGTGCTGCTGCGCGTGGTACTGCTAGTCCCCGTCGTGCTGGTCGCAGTGCTGGTGCTGGATGCAGTGGTGCTGCTACGCGTGGTACTGCTGGTCCCCGTCGTGCTGGTCACTGTGCTGATGCTGGTTGCGCTGGTGCTGCTGCGTGAAGTGCTGCTTGTCCTGGTCGGGGTGGTTACAGTAGTGGTGCTGGTTGCGCTGGTGCTACTGCGAGTGGTGCTGCTTGTTTCTGTCGCGCTAGTCAAAGTGATGCTGCTGGTTCCCGTCGTGCTGCTATGCGTGGTACTGCTGGTCCTCGTCGTGCTGGTCTCCGTCGTGGTGCTAACAGTGGTGCTGCTGGTTGCTGTGGTGCTGCTGCGAGTGCTGGTCGCACTGGTGTTGCTAAGCGTGTTAGTGCTGGTTGCCGTTGTGCTTGTCAGAGTGGTGGTGCTGGTTGCGGTGGTGCTGCTACGCGTGGTGCTGCTGGTTTCAGACGTGCTGGTAAGCGAGGTGCTGCTGGTTACGCTGCTGGACCCAGTCGTGATGGTTACAGTGGCGCTGCTGGTTGCGCTGCTGGTGCTGCGAGTGGTTTTGCTGGTCCCCGTCGTGGTGGTCACAGTGATGCTGCTAGTTGCGCTGGTGCTGCTGCCAGTGGTACTGCTTGTTCCTGTCGAGGTGGTCCCAGTGCTGCTGCTGGTTGCGCTGCTAGAGGCAGTGGTGCTGCTGGTGGCGCTGGTGCTGGTGAGCGTGGTGCTGCTGGAGGCCGTCGTGAAGGTCGTGGTGGTGCTCATGGGCGTGTACCGCCAGCAGACTTGGTAGAGGGCGCCCACAGGACCCCCCAGAGGCACACCCATGTAGAACGATGCGCCCAGTGCGCCAGTCACCGAGGCTGGCTGTGGGTGGCCGAGGCCCTCGAAGTGGCTCAGATCCAGCGCGGCGTCTGCGCTGCAGGCGTACGCCGCTGCCTGGGCCGCGGCCTGCACCTTCCAGACGGCCACCGGCGGCGTGGCTCCTCCGCCGAGCCACACCTCGCTGCCCACGTCCATGCCGTGCCCGGGCAGCTCCAGGGCGCAGGCGCCGCCGAGCACGCAGGACAGCTCCCCCGTGAAGTGGGGGCCCACCACCGAGAGCACGCCAACCTCCACGACGTAGTCGCGCCAGGACCGCCCGCCCCGACCCCAGCAGAGTCGCCCCGCGGGCCCCACGGGGCCCGCCGTGGCTGTGCCGAGGCTGTACGAATGCGGCCCGACCGCCAGGTCTGGCCTCAGCGGCCAGGAGAAGCCCTCGTAGGCGTTCCACTCCGCAGCGCTGCCGCAGCTGTCCGCGGCGCTCACCTAACCAGCTTCGAGCTTATCCCTATCCCTACAAGCCCACATGCGACGACAACCTCAAGGATGCGCCCTCAAGAGCTCAGGGGATCCTCAAGATCGGCACCGAGATCCGATGATGCCAGCCGCAGGGATGGGGATCTGTTCCAGGCCGCTATAATCGCCAGAATGAGAGCGTCAGCCTGCGCCAGGTCGAGCCCCTCCAGGGTGAGGCTGCAGGGAAGGCCCAGCGTGCAGGACAGGTCGGAGGCGTAGTGCGGCCCGGCCACGGTGAGGGTGCCCGCGAAGACGCTGAACCCCTCGATGCCGAGGCACCTCCCGGCCGGAGAGTTCACGCAGTAGCAGATCGTCCAGCGCCCCGGGCTCCCGGTGGCATTCGGCGGCACGGGGAAGGACACTGCGCTGGAGGCGGCGACGCCCTCCAGCAGCACAGCGCCCGCGCCTGGCGCTCCGCTGAGGTTACCGCACTCGGCCCCCTCGGGGGCGAGCGCCGCGGCGTCTGGGTCGCTCGCCGACGGGGGGGCGGCGCCGAAGCGGAAGGGGCCCAGCGTGCAGGGCGCGGAGCCGGGCCAGCACCGGAACTCCTGACCGGCAGCCGCGGGCCAGGTCCAAGAGGTCCCAGAGAGCCCGGCGAGGCACCAGCGGAGCAGCACCTGTCTGGATGCCCAGAACGGGTAGGAAAAACGAGGGGGCACGATGCCCAACGGCGGATGTTGTCACAACCTGGCAGCGGCCGCTGTTGGGCAGGAGCCTTTTTGTCTGAGGTCGACAACGCCCGCGGCGACGCCGACAGCTGATCTGGCTCGACATGGTCAGGGACTCGTGGGCGAAACACATGTCCGTACCCGCGGTCTCGCGGGCCAGGCCTTCTGGGCCGCGACCCCGCGGATACGGGACGTTTTTGTCGCGGAAGCCCCGCGCGGAACGTATCCGCGCGACCGCGTATCGGCGGGATCACGCACTGGAATCCAGACCGCGTAAGCATGGATATGGACACCTTCGCCGCCCGTGAGGAACTGCTGTCGGTGTTTGTCACCATTCTTTCCGTGCAGCCGGGCTGCTGAAACAAGGAACGCTGCATAAGGAACGAACCCCCTTCTTGGCGCCCAAAGCGCCTGGGTACACGAGGAAGTCTATAGGAAGAGCCACGTGCCTACCTAAGGAACATCGAGCCCCTTCCGAGCCTAGGGAAAAAACTGAATAAACATAAACTTGTGGCGCTCCGCGCGGATTTCTTGGACTGCGCTGGACCCCCCTCCCTGGCGAGCGGCGCCGCCGGGGGAGGGGGGCAGCGCGGATCCAAAATCCGCGCGGAACGCCACAAAGTTTGTGCCGCTTTGCTTCTTCGAGAGCCCCTCAGAGCGGTCCTCACATCAGCGCCTCCGCTGTACCCGTTTCGATCGTGCCGAACCTGCCGGGCGGCTGGACCCCGGCTCGGCGGCATCCCGCCGCGGCGGCGGCGTCCGCTGCGCTCGCGCGGGCGGGTCACAGCATCGAGGAGCCCCGGGCGGCAGAAAGGCGCCTCTGGGAGGCCCGGCGCCCGCACGGGCGGCGCGGGCGCCGCCGGGAAGGGGGGGGGGAGGGGGGCGGCGCTGCGGCGGGGGGCGGCGGAGCGCGGGGAGGGGACGGCAGCGGGGAGGGAGAGCGGGGGGAGGGAGGGAGGCGGCGGAGGGGAGGGGGCGGCGGCGGAGGGAGGGAGCGGAGGAAGGGAGCGGACTGGGGAGACACGGGAGCACGAGGGTGGAGGAGGGGCGCGGGGGGTGGAGACGCGGGAGGAAGGAAAGGTAACAGTGCTCCAGCATGGAGAACGAAAAAAGGGCCGAACACCTTCGAGTCATTGGGACTGCCTGGGCGGATGCACTGTGTCGTGACGCCGCCCGTGCATCTGCTTGCCCCCAGGATGCCGAGGCCTGAAAAGATGCGCTGGACGGCTGGTTCGCGGTGTTCAAGGCTGCTGTGTCCGTCTTGGAGCTCTGGCACTCGCTCGTGAGTTGCATGGAAGCCTGTAGAAGGAACCGAAGAGTTGTTTTAAGGCCACCCCACCAGGAGTCCAGGCAGCACAACGATTCGTGCAATGGCCATCTCTGGCAGTTTCTCCCTTGCGCCAAGAGCTTCAAATTTCTGCCGTCGCGAGGGGCCTCCAGGGAGGAGGAGGAGGAGGAGGAGGAGGAGGAGGAGGAGGAGGAAGAGCAGCAGGAGGAGAGGAGGAGGAGGAGGAGGAGGAGGAGGAGGAGGAGGAAGAGGAGGAGAAGCATGAGCAGGAGCAGGAGCAGGAGGAGGAGGAGGAGGAAGAGGAGCAGCAGGAACAGGAGGAGGAGGAAGAGCAGGACGAGTAGGAGGAAGAGATGAGGAGGAGGAGGAGGAGGAGGAGGAGGAGGAGGAGCAGGAGGTGGGGGAGAAGGAGGAGGAGCAGGAGGAGGAGCAGGAGGAGCAGGAGGAGCAGTAAGTGTGCTGCCTTCCCCCCTTCATTCGGGGCCCTGGTCCGAGGCGTTGGCCTACCCTCTCCGGGTCAGAAGCTCGGGGCCGGCCGTGCAGTCAGCACGGGCACTCCCGCTCCGTGTTGCTCAATGTGCGGGTCCTGCTGCACCCGAACCCCCAGACACCTCTTGGGGCCGTGTCATCATGGCGAGCTTTTTTTTTGCAAAAAAACCTTTTTGCAATCCTTCGTTTGTTTTTTGTTGTTTGTTTTTTTTTATTGTTTTTTATTGTTTATTTTGCAATCCTTCGTTAGCTGCTCTCGCCGAGGTGCGTCACCCTGGCCAAAAGGGCACGAGCCTCTCACGCCCATGGCGAGTCCAGCAGAGTGCGGCCCAACGGTTCGGCGGCGAGCGGGGGGGGGGATGTGAGAGGGAGAAGGCCTCCTCAGGAGGTTCGGAAGTCCCCCAGCCTCCTGAGAAGAGCTCTAAGCCTTCAGCCGAAGGCACAGGACACCTCTCCGAGGGAACGGAGGCTTCTGAGAAGTCCCGCCGCCTTCTGAGAGGGCCTTCTCCTTCTCACTTCCCCCCTCGCTCGCCGACGAATGGTGGGAGGACCTGGGCAGTCGAGGGGCGGGAACGTCTATGAAATGGGGGCCCTGGGGTACACAAATGAATGGACACAAATAACGGGATTCCCCCAGATGTTCCCATCTGTTCTGGGTGTTTGTCTCCCCCCACTTCCCATGGGTTCCCACATTTCCTGGGGAATCGACGATTCGTTGTGCCTGTGTGTGTGCTTTTCCCTCTTGACCCCACCCCCCAGAGAGGCAGGAAAGCCTGCAGGCCCTCCGCCTCCTGGCCGCCAAGATTCCCCCCACGAGGGGCGGGCGGGCGGCCGCCGCCTCCCGCCGCGGCCTCGCCCAGGCGTGGCAGGAAGCCCTGCGACGGGAGGAGGACGAGGCTCCGCTGCTCACCCGGGGGCGGAGGAGGAGGCCTCGACGTGTCTCTGACCACCCACCAGACCACCCCCCACCCAACCCGAAGACCAGAATCTCGGGTTGTGGGGGGGGGGGGGGTACGGGCTTCACGTGTGTCTTTCCAATGCTCCCCGAACCCCCCCCCCACCTGGAGATGGAGGGCAAAGCGCAACTCGGGGCCGTCAGGTTGGGCTGGGGTGGTTTGATGGGCGGCCACTTGTCTGAGTGATGGCTGGGGACTGGCCGCGTCGCGACCTCGGGCGATGGGAGGCCGCCCCAGGTCGAGCTCGTGGCCCGTCCCTGCCTGTCGTCGTGTGCCCCGGTCTGGACCGAGCGGCATGGGAGGCGTGGGGCCGGCCCGTGCCTGTTTCCCACGAGATCGGTCGAGCGTGGTTTTGGCTCCTCCTCCTCCTCCTTCTCCTCCTCCTCCTCCTCCTCCTCCTCCTCCTCCTCCTCCTCCTCTTCCTGCATGAGTGAATGGATTAATGAATGGGAGAAGGGGGAGGGAGCAGCGAGGAGGGAGAGGCGTGGTTTGGGAGCGAGGGAGAAGGGTTGAAAGAGGCGAAGGACTAGGGAATAGGATGAGAGAGCGTGGAGACAAAAAGGGACGGGAGGAAAGAGGAACGGAGGTAGGGAGGAGAGCGACTGGGAATAATGCGAGTGATTTCGAGTATGAGGGGGAAGAGAGTGGAGAAGAGAACGAGGAGATGAACATGGGGGGAGTGGGCAGCGCAGTCTGCACAATACGGCGCAGAATATCTGCGATGCTCGCGGCGCGACGGGAAAACGGTGCAAGGGGCAGAGGAAACGGAATCAGGAGCCACGAGGAGGGCAGAGTGTGGCTGATTGGTCGCGAGGGAGGAGGGCAGAGAGCGCACGAATCGCGATTGGTGTAGGATACGGACACACGCACAGGCACACTTCCTATACGAAAAACAACCCCACTCCTGGACTCCGTCGGGTCGGACACCAACACACACATGCACATACAGACACAAACACACACACACACACACACCGCACAAGGGCACGACGTGTAGTGATTCACCCAAACGAAACAAAAGTAAGATGCTCGGACATGATGTGTAGAACGTCCACATGGAATGCGCACCTGTGTGGCACAGCCCCATGCAGCCCAGTACGTCGGCTCCTGCCTCAACAAAGCGGCGCCTGGTTCTAACACCGCCTAGCCAGCTCAATACTGAACGACATCCGCGAACGGAGGCCACCAGAAGCTGTCAACAATGCATTTCATCTCGCCTGCGGAATTGACAAATCAACTGGCCATCGAAATCCGCCTTGAAGGCGTGTGTGAGACGCGTTTCCGTTTGAGTGTCGTCGTCGCCGCTCCTCCCCTCGACGCTTTTCCGTTTGAGTCGTCGTCGCCGTCGCAGCTGCCCCAACCCCCTGAGCCCTTCTCCTCAAGCGTTCCAGCCAGAGAGAAGTCGAGCAACGTTGCAATCGAGTCGAGGAGGAGCCCCCTGGCCGTTGATCCCTCACCCGCGGGAGGGTGGTCCAGGGAGGGGGGGCCTGGGAGAGGGGGGGAGGGCGAAGGTTGTGCTCCTACTCCCAGGGGTGGGGGTGGGGGGGGAGCACCCCTCCCTGGGAGAAACTTTCCCCCTCAATGTCTTGCCTCCCAAAGGCCTCGAACTTCCTTGTACTGCGGCTTGCTCAAAGAAGGCCATGAAACAACGAAAGATCTTCGATCGCTCCAAGACGGCCCAGGATCCCCTCCAGACGGCACCGGGATCCCCCACGACGCCCTAAGAGAGCTCCAAGAGAAGCCCCAATGAGGGCTCCAAGAGGCGAAAACCCTCGATTCCCATCTAGTCATTCTATGTGTGCTTCGCATCCTCGTCTGTGCGGGGTTCCGACGCTCCAAGATGGCCCAGGTAGGCCCCCGAATGGCACCATGACGGCCCAGGATCGGAAGCCGGGCAAAGGCTGCTAAATCCGCGGCTTCTAAAATCGACCTCCGGGAAGTTGTCTTCGTCCTTCTGGGAAGGAGCCCGTTGACTGTTTCGCGTGCCGCGCCTCATTCCAGGAAATTGGTTGTTCCTTCCGGGAGGGCCGCTTCAGCAGCCACGGTTTTAGCCGCCCTCCCCCACCTTTCGAAAGGAGACTGCCGCAGGCGCCCCAACGCAACGCAAGACAGCCCAAAGACGGCCCGCGAGGCCCCCCCGACGGCCGAAGAGAGGAGGAGGAGGAGGAGGAGGACGAGGAGGAGGAGGGGGAGGAGGGCCCCAAGATGGCCTCAAGGGGCTCCCGAAAGGGGGAACCCCAGCCTGCAGATCGAGCCTGCCGCCACACAGGAGGCATCCGGGCGGCCCCACGAGGCGCCCACGAAGGCCAAGATGTGGCCTCCAAAGAGCTCAGGAGAGCCCCCAGGAGCAATCCCGAGAAAACCCGAAGATGGCAAAACCCATGATTCTCCCGAGGAGACTTGGAAATTTGTCGTCGTCGTCGCCGTTGCCGTCGCCGCCACCGTCGTCGCCGCCGCCGCCGCCGCCGCTGCTGCCGCCCCCGCCACTGCCGCCGCCGCCGCCCCCGCCGCAACCGCTGCCGCTGCCGCCGCCGCCGCCGCTGTCGTCGCTGTCGCCGTCGCCGTCGCCGTCGCCGTCGCCGTCGCCGTCGCCGTCGCCGTCGCCGTCGCCGTCGCTGTCGTCGTCGTCGTCGTCGTCGTCGTCGTCGTCGTCCTTCAGGGTCGGCGCAGCTAGGCGTAAGGCCTCCGAAGAATCGATGAAATTGGCAGGCACATCGGAAGGCAATATAATCGACGCCCGCCGGCCCAAGCCGAGGCAAACGCGAGAATATCCAAACCGAAATCGGTACTCAGAGTCGGATCGACTCACATTCTTGGAGACCTCCTGGATGGGGTCCGAGTAGATGGGGTCGGAGAATCACGCAACATCCCCGATGCATCGCCGACAGTCGACGCATTGGCGATGCTGGTGATGCTTCGGCGACGTCGGCGTGCAGCAAATCAGGCTCCATATCGATCCGCATCGCCGATGTGCATCGGCGATGCGGCGCGATCCTCCGACCCCATCTGCTCCGACCCCATCTGGGAGGCCTAGAACATTGGAATTCGGTCGGATCGGCCCGAACAGAGGGAAACAAAAACTGTTTAAACACCAGCCGACCCCCGCTTGCCGGGGGTGAGAAGGCGTGTGACATGATTGGCTGTCCCACTCCCCTTTCCCCCTCCCCCAGGGTCCAAAATCCCGTTTAAGGCGGGGGGGTATCTGGCTCCGCGGTGCACCATCGGAGACTCCCGAGCTCCCCGATCTGCCTTCCAAGACGGTCCCGAATCGTAGAACGATTGGCCCAAGACACACGATGGCTCCAAGACGCCCCAAGACGCCTTCGAGACGCCCCCAAAGCTTTCCCAAGAGGGCCCCGAGAGGCAAAAAACACTGGTTTCCCTTAGGTCGTTCAATGTTTCTAGAGTTCTCGCCTTCTCGAGCTTACGACGCTCCAAGGCGGCCCAAGAAGCCCCGTAGACCGTCCCAAAAACTGCCTAAGAGGCGCCTACAAGGGCACAAGGACGCTTCCAAGACGGCCCGAAGCAGGGCCAAAGACGGCCAAATATCGCCCCAAGAAAATCCCCAAAAAGGTGAATACAGAGAACACGAACCGAAAATCGAATCATCATTCCGCTCCAAGATAACCCTCAAAAGCCCCAAGAAGCCCCCAAGCGGCCAAAAGAAGGCTTCAAATCAGCTCCAAGGGGCCCCAGAGAGGCCCAAAAGAGGCCCCAAAGCGGCACCCAGCACTCTTCAAAACTGCCACCAGGAGGCCCAGCCAGGCCCCCAAAACAGCTCCCAAGACGCCCACAACGCCTCAACCGTGAACTCCACGCCTCTTCTGGGGGCCGGCGGAATGGTGGAAGCCTCTCGAATGAACTGTCGAAGCTCGGCGCTGGACACCCCTCCCTGACGCGCGGAGCGCGCCAGGGCTGGCGCCGGAGGCGTCAAACAGGGGGTCCCCACCGCCGATGCAAGATTCTGCCGCCTCTCAGGGGCCCCACCGCCGATGAATCGGCGGTGCACAAACCTCCCTTTTATAAACCACCCTTTTGGGGAAACGGCCTACACCCTGCGAAATGCTTAAGAAATCATGGGTTAAGAAATTCATGGTCTCAGAATTTGAATTAAAACCCAACGTTTCTATTAAAATCTTAGGATCTACATTGAAACAATAAGAATAATCGAGACTCTGGCCGAAAACTTAAGTTTTCTTAAGCATCGCCAAAGGTGTAGGACCGAAACCGACTGCCCTGGACCGCCAAAATGACGGCCGCGACGCCCTCTCGCGAACCGAAAACGGCCAATTCGCTAGTCGACATGTCAGGGTAGGAGGTCTATCAACCTCCGAATGAACAAAAAATCGCATTCGACGTCGACTCGAAATCGGAATCCTCCAGGCCGAATCGACTCGACGCGGCGGAGTCGAAAAGGCTTCGGAACATCGCGCGCAGCGGCGCCGCGCACGCCCCTGCCGAAACGACGCGGACCATACCATGGCCAAAGCACCTGCCCACGGGGCCTCCGGCAATCCACCACGCCCAGGCAGCGTACGAGAATGGCGCCAATGCACCAGACCATGCTTGGATTCCCTTCAGGCCTCGCTCCAGCGCGGTACAATGCATGGTTGTTCGGCCTGGAAGGCCGGAAAACAGGATGCCCCGTACAGTGTCCCGGGTCGAGGATCGACGACGCCTCGAGAGACGCCAAAGCGTTACGGCGCACACAGGTCACGGGTGGCCCCCTGACTGCTGCGCGGAACAACACCCGCTGGACGGTTTCCCCTGGGGCCGTAGGCGACCCGAAGAGGGGAGGGCGAGGAGGAGGAAGGAGGACTGAGGGAGGGAGGAGGAGGGAGGGAGGGAGAGGAGGGAGAGGAGGAGGAGGAGGAGGAGGAGGGAGGCTTTGACTATACTTAGCTCGTTGCAAGTTAGCTTGAGCGCAGCGGCCAAAAGGACTGGCACAGGCTGCACACGAGAAGCCCGAGAGCATGGACGCTGAGCTGCTTCCGCTCTCGTCCCGAAAACTGTCAGGAGAGAGGTATTGGCGCTGGGGGAGGGGAGTAGAGGAATCATAACGAAGGAGTAGGAGATTGCAGCGCCGTGCGAAGAGAGACATCAGCGGCACCCTGCTTCGTTGCCCATAGAAGGGCAGCCCTCGATGCAGAGAGCAGTGCGAGGCAGGAAAAAGAAGAGACCTGCCTAGGAGTGCCTTCCGAATTTCGGACTGCTATTAAGCGGGAAGAGCTGGACGGAGGGCCAAAATGGCCAGGCCGCATTGCGGCTGTCCAAACCTCCATGGGAGGAGATCTGGACTGAAGGAGGAGCAAGGGAAGTATAAAAAGGCGGGAGAGGAAGAAGGGCCGGAATGACATGGCCGCGTTGCAGGGCGTACGCTGCAGCTGAGGCCTGTACGGGCCGACCGCGGCGGGGAGGTGGGTGTGCCTGGGCGCTAGCCGAGACCAGACAGCAGAGACCCACCTCCGTGTGGCCCCTCACAGGCACACAGGGACCAAGGGGACCCTGCTACACCTGGACGGGGGCCAGAGAGATAAGCCAAGGCCAGTGCCGCGTTCCCCCCACGAGGCACATATGTTTTCCGCGGCCGTGCCTCAGCCGCGCAGCCAAGACGCACTGAAGCATGGTGCCTGTCTGCATATATGGCACCTTTGCTGGCCGCTTTGGCCGAGAGTTACTCGGCGGGGCTGTGCTGTAACATCGTTAGGTAATGAGCTGCCAAGGTGAACCAAGAGTATTAGGCCAGCTCGCCACCTAGGAGACTCAGCCGTGGCGAGTCTGCGAATTGCTGTGTGAGCAAGCCGATCGCTGTATAGCGATGCTGCTAAGAGGTGCCGCGTTGGCCTCACTCATGCGGCAAGGTGGAAGGTCGAGCCCCTGATTGGCAACGACTCTTGCACAGGCCCTCCAAGGGGGGCCGGTAAAAAGCAGAGTGACTAGGTGGGCTGCCGAGGTATGTATTAGGCTGGCCCCGCCCCTGTGTGGCGCATTGACGGTTGCATCATGGGCGCCCATCCCATATTACCTGAGATGGCGCCGGCTGGATGCCGCACAGTTAAAGGCCTTACGGGCGCTGAAGAGTTGCAGCTGCAGCTGAAAGGCCTGCGCGGGCCGTCCGCGACGGGGGGGTGGGTGCGCCTGGGCGCTAGCCGAGACCAGACAACAGAGACCCACCTCCGTGTGGCCCCTCACAGGCACACAGGGACCAAGGGGACCCTGCTACACCTGGACGGGGGCCAAAGAGATGCGTCGGGGCAGAGGCCACGTTCCTCTCATGAGGCGCTCGTGGCTAGGACTGTCTAGGTAGTGAGCTGCCAGGGCGAACCACGAGTATTAGGCCAGCCCATCCCCTAGAGACTCCGCCGTGACGAGTCTGCGAATTGCTGTGTGAGCCTAGCCGATCGCTGTTTAGCGAGGCTGTTAAAATGTGCTGCGCTGGCCGCACTAGTGCAGCAAAGTGAGAAGTCGCGCCCATGAGTGGCGACTACTCCTGGGTAGGGCCCTCTAGAAGAGGGGCCGGTGGAGAAAAGAGCGCTAGGTGGGCTGCCGAGGTAAGAATTAGGCGGCTCCGCCCGTGTGTGGCACATTTACGGTAGCACCTTGGGCACCCATCCCAAATTGGCCTGAGATGGTGACGACTGATGCCGCAAGAGCTGCAGTGAGAGCGTGCACCTGAAGGCCCCACTGCAGCGGAATGTACGCCGGCTTGGCCGGCCTTAAATTGGAGACGCGGTGTCTCCTTTATAAGAGTTTGGCTAGCAAAGAAGGCTTGGGCTGAATAGGTGGTGGGCTGCAGGCAAACCAGAATCAGAGCATTGTGCTAACCCACCACCTATGCGTGAGGACTCAGCCGTGGCGAGTCTGCGAATTGATATGTGTGAGCGGCGCTCAGCCGCCTCACTGTTGGCGGGGCTGCCCAGAGTTGTAGAGCCGCACAATGACTGGAAGGGCTGGATGCTGCTAGACTTGCGTGGCATACAACTCAGCTATGCAGGACGGCTCGACCGACCTTGAGTAGGAGCGGCATGGCTCCAGCTGTTTAGGTGGTGGGCTGCCGAGGTGGAGAGAAGACGCTGAAAGGATGTGGAAAGGAAAGTATTAGGCGAGCCCACCACCTAAGTATGCACGCTGCTAGTGGCGCCGAGGTCGCTTAGGTCGACCTAGAAGGGCGCTGATTGATGCGTCATTAGCGCGGCTCGCTCAGGCACTGAAGGGCGACGGGTTGAGAGAGCGGGCGGCAGCAGAGAGCGCCGAGAGACCTGCCGCTGTCGCCGCCGCACGCGCCTGGGCCTCTTGCGCGGCAGCCTGCTGCTGGTTGTAGTGGTCCCTCAGCATGGCCTCCACCTCAGAGATGGTCGCCAGGCCTGGGGTCTCGATCCACTCCCAGTCCCAGGTTTCGACGACCAGGCCGTCGATGACGTCCAGCGACTTGAGCTTCCAGACGAAAGGGTATAGCATGCCGTTGGGCATCTTCCATTCGCCCGGGTAGGTGGAGGGCCACCACTTTTTGAACTCGTGTGCGGCGGCCGTGTATTGGGAGCCCTGCCAAGCCGAACCAGCATATCCCGCGTGTCAGGCGACGCCCTGCCGGCCTCGGCCGCGCCCGCCTCCGCCGCAGCCGCAGCGGAACCACCCGCGGGAGGCATGGGCACCATGGCGGCGTGGGGCGCGTTGAGAGAAGGGGGGAGTGCCGAGGAAGCAAAAAGAAAAAGCCCATAAGCCAACGGCGGCCAGATGTGAGTGAAACCTAGCTGGCCTGTGCTAGCATCTGTGTGAGGAGGACCCTCCTGACGGGCCGACTGATGCATGCCTGGCCTGGTGCGGAGTCTATAGGGATGAGGATGTTGCCGCTACGCATGTTGACCCGCAGCGCAAGACCGGTGCGGTAGGGCATGCCCGTGCCAAATAGGATGGGCCGTGCATCCATCTCCTGAAGGACGGGGAGGTGAAAAATGCGCGGCCTTTCCACAGAGGATGGCAGCCTGGTCTCCTGCCCATGGAATTGCTCCATTAGGAGCCCTACATTGATGGGCAGTGGGGACCAAAGCGAAATGGGGCCTGTCGTTATCACTACCATCCACTGCACTGCTGTATGTGGTGGTGGCGCTGCTTCAGTGGGGGCGCAGCGGAAGTCACCGTGCTCGAACTGCGGCAGGTGCTGCGCCTCTGGGGTCGGCATGGCCTGAGGGCTTAGGGTTCGGGGAGGCGGAGGATTCGAGCGAGGTGGGACAACGGGAGGCAGAATGGCCGTACCATGATCATGGCCTGGAAGTCTATAAGGATGGGGCTGCCGGCCGCTGCATCCTGCAAAAGCCTGTGGGGGCTGAGGGAGGCCTGCTCCCAGGCCCCCGATTGAAGTAGGACCAGAAAAAGTTGGTTCGGCACGTAAACTGAAACTAGCCCTATGGTGGGTGAGAAACGGGCATCGTAGGGACCATCCCCCGCAGCACATTGGGGGTAGATGCGGAGTAGGTTGGGGGAGTTGGCCTCGCGCCAGCGGCCATGCCAGCGCTCGAGCGTGCGATTGACGGCCGTGGGCAAATCTAAGTGAAGCAGAGGACCCACGAAGGAGCGCGCGTGTGGCCATGCGGGCGGCCCGCTCTCGAGCTGCCATGTGGCTTGCCACTGGGGTACCGCATTATGCTGGTACACCGTGGTGGGAGACAGAATGAGTGCGTGGCGCCTTGCGCCGCCGCTGAGAAAGCGGTAGACTTGCTGGTGAGCCAAAAGAAGCCGCTCAGCTAGATGCTTCCATAAGGAAGTCAAGCGAGAGGCTGGATGCGCGATGCTTCGCGGGTCTAATTGTTGCCCAGGGTACACCTCAGCAGCGGGCACGTCCTCGTCTGCATCGGCGTTGTCCAGGATACTGGGCTCGCTCCTCATGGCCTGATGGGGATGAGGCAGGAAGGGGAGCTTATAGAGGAAAGCAGGAGAGGTTAGGCTTAGGCTGGGGGCTAGCTGCCTGGCAAGGGTCTAGCGCCTGGCAGCCCCACCTCCTTCATGAGGTTTGCGCGGCCTCCTGGGCGACAGACGCTGACCGCAATGCGAGAGGCTTTCGCCATCTCGCAATTGCATCTTAAGGCGCTCCCTGTGTATCCTGTCGATACGGAGCTGGTCCTGCCTATGCTCTTCTTTGAGCTGAGCAATTTTATTCTCGTGCTCCTTGAGAAAGGCGCTGCGCTGTTCGTCCGCTGCTGCGGCTGACGCAGCTGCAGCTGCGACTGTAGGCGGCAGGCGCGTGGCTACATGGCCAGAATGGTGAGACTTGCGAGCCTTATGATGCCTTGTAGGAGGTGAGGCTGGTGACGAAGCCGGGCCGTGGGAATCCTGCGGGCTGCTTTGAGCCTCTACTGGATCTCGGCGCTGTGGCATAGGCTGCTCGTCCGAGGCTGCATCAGACGCTTTGGCAGGCGAACGTGAGCGCTGTGCTGCATGGGCCGCGCGGTGCGCCTTGGCCTTGCGAGCTCTATGGTGCCTAGGGGGAGGAGAGGCTGGAGGTGTCTGCGTGCCGAGGGACTCCTGCAGGCTGCTATGTGCCTCAGCAGATTCCCTGCGCATTGGCGCAGACTGTTTGAGCGCGCTTTTGCGCGGCTCGTTGCGTAAGCGCGAATTATGGGCCACCTTGGGGGGCTTGGCCGTGAACTCGTCCGCAAATGAGACCTGCTTGCGCTTGCGAGTTGCAGAGGCGCGGGGCGCAACTGACTGTTCCGCCGGCTCTGGAGAGTCGAGCGGAGGAAATGGTGAGGAGGCAGAGGAATATGAGGCGTCGTCCACCTGATCCAGCCTTCCAGGCGATGCTGGGGGACTAGAAGGCTTGCTTGGCTGGCTCTTGAATGGCGCAGCTTTGCGGGACTGTTTGCGAGGCTCGCGCATGGGTGGAGGCGAGGTGCACGCTGAAAGGGGTGGAGAAGAAGGAGAGGCTGCCTGGCCTATCCAGCCTTCCAGAATGGCTGCTTTAGCAGGCACCCTGGGATGCTCTGGGGGCGGCAAGGGAGGCAAGGCTGGCGGAGGTGGCGGAGGACGAAAAGTGGCCCCGTAAATGTGCCTGCCTCGACCCATGGGGGGGCCGCTGAAATCGCCAGGCGGCCGCGGGGGATCTGGGGCAGGTGGGGCGCTGGACAGAGAGCGCTGCACCGCTTTGGCCACCTGGGCGAATTGGGCAGGCGAAAGGAGGGGTGGAGGAGCTGAGGCGGACCGAAATTGGCCCGGTGGGGGATGCTTAGGCCTGGCTTCACACGCACCAGCACCCATGGTCGTCTGGACATGGGAGGGATGCCAGCTAAGCGTCGAAGATGTCGGCGTTGAAGTCCTGCGGGGCGGGCGAGGCGGGGCGCCACATGTGAGAGAAGGAAATTCCCGTGAGCGGGACGGGTCGTGCCGCTTGACGGGAACGTTCGGCCCTGATTTGCCTGGCCCGCTCCCTATTGCACTGGATGCGCCTTTTCTGATCCAGAGTTAGGGAAGGCGGGGGCGGCGGCGGAGGGAGGGTGGAGGGAAAAATGGGGGCTGTGCCCAAAAAGTGCATGGCCTCTTGTTCCGCTTCCGAGTCCTGATCTGCTGGATCAGGCTGCTCGTGAGCCTCTGCGGGGAGGTCGCTATGGCGCCGCGGCTCGCGGGGCCTGGAGAGAGCCAAAAGCCTGCGGAAGCGGTCCAGCTCCCCATCTACCTTGGCACGGGTGCGAGGGGCGGAGGAATCCACAAAGTCGGGGCCTAGCCAAAAGTCGTTGGTCATGGTAGCGGAGAAGCGGAGGAGGGGAGCCAGGACCGAGGGGTCCGACTGGGGAAGAGGATCCTGTGGGTCGTCAACCAATGGTAAAATGACGTCCTGACATATGGCCTGGGCGAGACATTCGCAAAGGGCAGAAGGATAGGTCTTTTTGTCAGCAGTGAAAAAGCGGTCATTCTCGTCCTTACCTAGAAGTGTACGATGTGACCCCCGTGGGTGCGTGCACTTGGTCCCTTGGGGACGGTTATTTAGGAGTTCGGGGAGCGAGGGAAGGCGTGGCGACAGCAAGCGCGTGGGGGCTTTGCCGAATTCGTTAGGAGGTCGGCAAGACGGTTGGAACATGCACTGGTCGATGTCCGTGGTGCGGACAGCCGGG